GGTATGTGTCCGCTTATGAAGAGCAGACATGGGCACAGCCAGCTCTCTTCTATGGAATGGATCCCCATCCGTCTGTTTACACCCGCCTACAAATGATCCAATACACTGAAAACAAACACATGTCAGTTTACAACTACCGCTCCATAGAGGTGAATGGAGGTTTCCAATCAGATCTGCCTGAAACACAGACAGGCAGACCCGAGCTGTGAAAGGAGCTTTAGACACTATCAATGGCTTTCTTGCTCTGGCCATCTCCAGCACTCTACTATTCTTCCTTTGGTGTTCTTGGCTTTGTCGGACCTATGCAGGAGTGTGACTGCGGCTGAGAGCTCCTTAAAGAGGAGGGTGAGGGGGAGAGAGTGCCTTCTGGAACAAGGTAAATATTGCACCTTATTCCTGCAGCACAATACTGAATGAACGGTTAACCCTTGCAGATTTGGGGGGGTGCTACTGCAAGAGTAGATTTTTTTCATTCTTGGAGGTTGGCTTTAATGTGAACAACTTTGCACCAAGACCCATCACGTTTAGATTTGCTATTGTAAATGTGTGGATTTGTTGATTTATACACAAGAATCAGGGTAGTTCAGCCACTACAGTGATTCCTCCTAATTGCTTAACAAGTAGAGAGATAAGATACCAGCCATAAAGGGGTAGTGCATTGTTTTCAATCAGTTGGACTCCATAAACTTGCATTGTGAATTACTGCAAAGCAGGAAGCATAGAATGAGCATGTAATAAACAAATATGAATGCCTCCATGTAGACATAAAGTACAATTTGTTATTAGAAATAACAGTACTTTTTCAATATCCAGGAGCCAGTATTGTTATTGTCTGACTGGGAGAGGCAATTTACATTGGCCTTGTAATCGGCTGACGTTCTCTTACTCCATTTGGGCAGCATGAAATCTGCCAAAGGAGAGCCCCCCCACCTCTAGGATCAGTAAAGAGGTGGAGGGGTGTGATTTAGATGTCTGAGTTGGCCTCAGTGTTTTGAGGAGATATTTATCAACCTTGGTGTTAGAAACTCTCTCAGCACTATATTATCAGGAAGCCTAAAATACATAACTTTTATTCATACATAAATACATTTTGGATATTAAATAACATATGCATGGGAAATAAATACACAATTACAGTATGTTTCAGATTTTTACCATTTATTATCAAACTGCATAAAAGCATTCAAAAACAAATTCAAAAACAAAACTGATCTGTATTTCACAACATACGAGGTAAATACTACAGAACGTACATACATTTTCTCAGGTAAAGAATAACTAAAACCAAAAACAGTTTACCAATTCTTAGATCCTGTGGCGGCATTAATTTTTATTTTTCAGGCTAAGGACGTTTTCAGTAAGTACAGAAATAACTTGATTTTGCCAGAAATGGAGTCTTTATGTCACTTCCTGTAAGTTCAACTGAAAGCACAGACATATGTATCTTCCCTCTGTTAACCACTAATCCCATCAGCCCACATGTAATAGAGATGCACAAAGACAGATATGGTTCAAGTCCAGCATGGGTGACCACCATTGCTTCTTCCATAGAAACACTGGATAAGTGAGCATAGCCACCCAGAGACAGGACGTGTGTTATTTGTGGAATAACTAGCTGAATGAAGCTGAACAAAAAAAACCAATTGCAGGACGTCATCTAAGGACTGATGAGCTACTGTATATAAAATATTTGTTTTTGGTTTTAGCTATGCTTTAATTCCAGAACTGGAAATCCTGCCTTATATGAAAACCCATACAAATTGCAATTTTTCTTTCCAATGATTCCTTTTAAAAGTAATAATAAGTAATCTTTAACTTCTTTACTGAATATAAAAAAAAGCTAAATTTATTCTAGATAAATCAGTTTGCATGACAGTTTTTAGTAGATTTGAGTAAATTTATGCTTACAAAGACCTGAATCTAAAAACAATCTTAATCACATTTGTGACACAGGAGTATCTGGATATCATATAGTCAATACAGAAGTAATGGTTATACAAGAACAACATTGATATCTGTATGTGGCACTGTGACAGATGTGCATTTGTTTGGATTTTGTATAGTAAATATACAACGTTTCTCAATCGGGGTGTCTTGAACACCTACCTAGTTTGCCTTGGATCAGCATCATAAAGGCCCCTTTCACACGGGCATTCCAGTTTTTTCATCAGTTCAGTCACGTTTTTTCCAAGCAAAAACGGATCAGTTTACATCCGTTTTTCATCAGTTTACATCCATTTTTTTCATCCGTTTTATATCCATTTTTTGTCCATTATTTTTTTACGGAAGAAAAATAGGGTTTTCTTCCATTCAAAAAACGGATGTTAACGGATACGGACAATAATGAATGCAAGAAGATGACCATCTGTTTACAACCGCCAATCCATAGAAATACACAGGTGTCCGCTTTTCATCCATAAACTGACAGATGAAAAATGGACATATACAGAACGCCCATGTGAAAGAGGCCAAAGAATGAATGGTGTTGCAGGGCAGTATGCACAGTGTCACTCTTTGTTATGGTGTTGGCAGCACGCCCACCAGCACCATGGCAATGCATTAAAAAACAGGGTAGACAGCAAGCAGGGCTGCCTCCAACATCCAGGAAAGGATGGATGTCTGCCCCCTCCAGATCTGCTCCACCTCCCAATCTCTGCTGTGCTGCTGGAGCCAAAAGGTAGGGTCTGTGATTAGGGGGTTCTCTGTGATTGGGGGCTCTGACATGGAGATTGGGGGGGACCTCTTATGTGAAGAAGGGCTTTTGATTTCATTGATAAGTAAAATTTACATTTTAACTAGGGTGGCTGAAGATTGTCCATTCTTTTAAAGGGTGCTGTGCCTGAAAAAAGGTTATGAAACACTGATATAGAAGATGTGGTAATGCAAAGGCTACATCAAAAATGAGGCTCTGTAACAGATGAGTATATGTTCAGATCTCATATAGTCAATAAAGAAGATATGGTTGCACAAGGGCTATGTGGCTCTGATAGGACCATATATAAGGCTACATTCACACAGACAGGCAGTGCCATACAGCGTGCAGAATCCTGCAGCTAGGAGTCACAGTGTGCTGCATACAGCTGCCTGTGCAAATTACCAGGAAAAAGGGTCAGCTGCACACCGGAGGATTGATGAAATATAGTGTGTATTTATTGATCCATAGGACACACAAAACACCAGGACATGAATACAGGACTTGTTAACGCGTTTCACACAATCTCGTGCTTAATCATTATTATTATACAGTATTTATATAGCGCCAAAAAGTTTGCTCAGCGCTGTACATTATAGTGGGGGACAGAACAAGAGACAATACAGTAACAAAAACAATACACGAGGGGTTCGAGGGCCCTGCTCTTTTGAGCTTACAATCTAGGAGGGAGGGGATAGTGGTACAGAAGGAAGTGGCTGTGGGGGATGGAGTGGTAGGAGGAGTGGAGGAGATCGGCTGTTAGGTGAGGGCGGGGTAGGCTTCCCTGAAGAGATGGGTTTTCAGGGTGCGCCTAAAGGTGAGGAGGGTAGGTGATAGTCTGATGGATTGGGGTAGTGAGTTCCAGATTAAGCACAAAAAATCGTATGAAATACGTTAAAAGGTCCTGTATTCATGTCCTGGTGTTTTGTATGTTCTATGGATCAATAAATACACACTATATTCATCTATCCTTCAGTGTGCGGCTGACCCTTCTTCCTGTTACATCGTGTGTGGTGGTGAGCCACAGACTGTACCTGTCGTGGATTGATCTGGATTGTTTGCCTGAGCGGTATACCTCTGTTCTCTGCAAATTAACGACAGCAGCATGTGGCTATACGCTGGTGAACACACATCCAAGCGTATGCATGCGTACAGGTATGGATGTAGGACCCTGGACACAGTCTGCATTTAGGGGTGTACAACCCTTCCTGTACACATGTGTACCCTCAAATGTGCATTTACCAGCGTACAGCCACATCCTCTGATTAATTTTGTATAGGCGGCTGTAATTTCCAGGTGTAAACCTCTGCACAGATATGCATGTTGTATGGCCCTGCGCACCTGTGTGTACGAGACCTTTATGTCACAATGTCTAGAATTTTATTGCTAAATCTATTGCAGCCTACAAAGTAACTGAGTGAGCCAGTACACTCCTGTCTGGTCAACTTTGCTGTAGCCAAGGCTAGGCTTGGAGTTCTACCTCCTGACCTCTTTTTTGGAATGGATATTTACTGCAGAGAGTCACTGAAATTATGAAAACAAAATTCCATAAGATTTTGAATGAGATACGTTTTTACACTTAAACATTGCTTGCATTTACTGTTTATAGTTCTACGTTTACACTGTATACTCATATGTTACTCATAGTTATGCAGATATAGACATGTCTGTATTATGAGTGTAAATATGAAAAAAAAATCTTCACGTAAACCATAAATGAGAAAAAATATCTGATTAAATTATGTATTTCTGAAACATTATTATAAGAAAATGGATCATGTATATTAGGGTTCATGAACATTACTATGGTCTAGTCATTCTTCTGTTAGGCTTGTAATCTCTGCCCCAAATAATGGAGGCGATGCAAGGTGTATTTATATCAGCACCCATCTAACAGCACCTGAAAACAAATGTCCTAATACATTTTCCAGGAAAGTAATCTAAATTGCATCTGTTTGCCAAAACCAAATCAACATCTATTGGCTTAAGGGGCTGAAAATACAATAGGGCTATTGATCCACTTTACCTCTAATTCAACAATTTTCTTCATGATGTTAATCTTTAGTGAATGCCACAATCCTTTCACTTGCACAGCATCTTCCAGGACAGCAACCTTTACTGCTCCACAACAAAGCAGTAGACTGCGACATTGATGGGTAACACTAGCATTTATCACTTATGTATTTCCTTTAGAGATGCTTTAATTAAACATCTTAATCTTCATTTTAGAACCAGACAGATCTGTAAAAGGGAGGGCTTTCAGCCTTGAGTTTGGTCAGACACAAAACAGTTCTTTTCCTTCTCCAGTTCATCTACATTTGGAGCTGAAGTTAAAAGGTGCACCATTCCTAAGAGATCCGCTGGAAATATTTTTTGGGTTCTCTTGGTCTGCTTTGTCACGGCTGAAAATTGTGTCTTGGTCACTTTCAAATTCTGACTCTGAAACCATAAGGCTGGAGTTATGCTCTGTGCTCCTGTGCTTTATCCCTGCCCAAAAGAAAAAAATGGCAGATCAATGAGTTAGTGCTTTACAGTACAGATTAGCTGAATCGAATCCTCCTTTCCTTAAAAAAAGCATGGTCATGCTAATGATCGGTATTGGGAATCTTTTATGTGTGCCTTTTTAGTATGTGAAGTCTGGTAAAACTGAACTCTAAACTGCCCCTCCTCCTCTCCTCTCCCATCCCCCACTAATCTATGTCCAAAAACAATTTATAAATCTGCATAATTGTTCCTTTTACTCACCTAAATCTGAGGTCACATGAACTGACCTTCTATTGGGTGCCTACATCACTGCTTGCATGACATGGACACTTCTTATTGGCTGTCCAGTGCAGAGTTCCTCCCAGGATCTACAAGAGATTCTGTAGGTGGTGACATCCGCGCAAGAGGATGGTTCGCTACATCTGCAGTGATGGATTACCAGTTCACTGCACATGAATACGGTGCTGGTAGGGGCCCAACAGCAGGCTTTAAGGCATGGGCTGGTGTGAGTGAGCCATTACTATGACAGAGATCTCTCATACTAAGACTGCCCTAAACCTGGACAAATTAAACTGATCACATTATAAAAACACATGGAAGTTAACCTTTTAATATTAGGGTATATTCACACATGCGAATGCACAAGACGCCAATTACATGTAGAACCCCAACAGAGGTTCCTGGCGATTAGCTGCAGGAGAAAGCTCCATTGAAAGCAATGGGCGATTCTTGCAGCTATTTGCACGTAATCACTCACGCAGCAATCACGTGCAAATGATCAGTCCTGGACTTAGGCAGTCTGTATCCAAGGCCGATCACCCGCATGTGTAACCTTAAATGCATGTCAAAAACTTGATATTTTTTGGATTTGTTTTTACTTACCATATTTGGGTCTCAGTGCCATTCTTTCTTGATCATCAAAATTGTCCAGAATAGTATATTTTGTTTTCTTTCTTATTTTGGTCCTCTTCCGGCTGATGTAAAAACAAAAGTTTCCATGTCAACAACTAATGTAACATTGCAGAATCTAAATGTGTTTTGCTAAAGACTTAGATCTGCATTAAAATAAACAATTCACTGCAATTTATGAATGGTGCACAAGACCCTTGACTGTCAGTTGCATTTATGGAACAGTGGATGGTAATTAACTTAAATATGTTGTTTTTGTATATATTTTCTTTAGGTTTATAATTTAGGATTAAAAATGTTTTATTTCTTTGAGAAAGGTAAATACAAAATGAACAATATGAATGTTTCATATTTACCTTGTGCAGCCATCAGGTGGAGCTCTAGTGACTACAAATTCTTTGCAATCTGTACTTTTATTCAATTATTTGATCCCCTGATCAGATCTAGTTAGAAAAAAACAGCTGAATGATCAGAGGAGGGTCACACCTCCTTCCTTCTTTCATGTGGCGCTGTATGGATTATCAGTTATAGAGAGGCAGTCCACAAGGTAGCAGCTACTGCAGTTTTATTACAATGCTCTACAAACACAGTGTCATAGAAGTCTATTGTATGAAATGTGCTTGCCTAGCCAATAGATCTCTCTCCTTTATTCTTTGTTGGGAACCAGCCTATCTATTTGATTGTGTCTCTGTCTTTTCTAAGATTATTTGTCTGCGATAGAGATCCCTATTAGCCCATACTTTTGGTTCTAAAATATATGATCTCCTTATTTACACTGTTATTTAGGCTAGCTTTTGCAGTAGGAGTTACTAACTTCTACAAATTTAACCAAACTTTTCAAGCAAATCAGAGTGATGTCTAAGCTCTAACGAGCAGGGCCCTCTGATTCCTCTTGTACCAAATTGTATTGTAACTGTAATGTCTACCTTCATTTTGTAAAGCGCTGCGCAAACTGTTGGTGCTATAAAAATCCTGTATAATAATAATAATATTGTGAAAAATACAGAGGAGTCTAGTCAATCCAGCAATTTTTATTTACCTTTTATAGCAACAGATGCATACCCAGACCATGCCCATCAGAAAGGCAACCAAGGCGAATGTCAGCACAGTAATATAAAGTACACTCCAATCTGCAAAATAAATCAGTACCCAATATTGACATGCTTCGCTCATGGGATGCTATTTAAATACAAGTGTCTAATTCAGAAGTGTCTTCATTTCCACCAATTAAAAAAAAACAAAGGAAAATAGAGGACACGTTTCCAAAAAAAAATGGTCTCTCAAAGTGCCCTTGAATCTCTTTCCCAGACAAAGCGCATTGCAGGCAATTTTCATTGTCAATATGCTCATAAATATGAATAAATGCTGATTTCCCCAGAATTCTGCATACAAAGGAAACCTTTTTTTTTATCAATTTGAGATTATTAGGATTTCAGGTTTAAACAAATACAGGGTACAGTGTACAGAGAAAAGAGCGAAAATAAGTTGTGGGATAGGTATCATGTGAGTATCAGTTGTCCTTACTAGTACTAACACTAGCAAGCAACTCTGGTCCAAGGTCAGATTAGATTATGGTCACTGAATGTGCAGGAAAAAAAAATTACCTTCCTGGGCCCTTGACTAGCTACAAAATGCTATATGAGCAGGGGCGGACTGACAACTTATGGGGCCCCTGGGCAATAGGGGATCATGGGGCCCCTGTGTCCTTGCCCAAACTCAAAAAAGCCTATGAAAAAGGTACCAGGGGCATCTCATGGGGCCACCTACTGACCCCGGGCCCTCGGGCAGTGCCCGAGTTTCCAAATGGTCAGTCCGCCCCTGTATATGAGCATTTAGGATAGAGTATAAAGTAAGGTCCGGTTGGTAGAATCATAAAGCTGGCCATACGCTACTAGATTTTCATACGAACATTTGTGTGAAAATTCTTGTCACTGCATTCAACGACATAATGAATGTTGTTGGATAGTACTTCAAAAAACAGTTTTTTAATATTTAATTTTGGAAATGGACTTTACTGAATGAAAACTGCATTCACTGTTAGAAATGCGTTAATTCAAGAAAAAAAATTTTTTATCCTGCTTTCTTCAATTTTATTGTCACTGCAGTCGAAAAGGAATTTCAAATTGACCCTACTAACAGAAAATCGAACTAATGTTCCTAAGATGAAAATTTTCTAACAAAGTTCTACTAGTATGACCAGCTTAGGAAGGTGGGATTCTAGATTTTATGTAAATCAGTCTCTCAAGCATGGGAAACCTTTTATGAGAGAGACACTAGGGGAGTTTAAAACTGGTGCACATAGAATCTGGGGCAACTGTGCATAGTAACCAATCCGCTTTTATCTTCAGCTCATTTAATTAAGCTTTGACAATAAAACCTGGAAGATGATTGGCTACTATTTTGCTAAATGCTTCATATACAATTTTTATGTGGAATGAAAACAAAAGCAGAAATGAGTGCAGGTCTTTCAAACCTATAACAGAATGGAGATTATGGGAAGTAGACAAAGCAAATATTTGAAGGGAATGTACTCACCACAATTACTTTCCCCATCACTGACATAACGCTGGATAAAATTTTCCATCCAAAAGGGATAACAAAGGCAGGATTTTGTTATTGGATCGCAGTGTCCATGTCCCGAACATTTCAGAAGACACACTATTATACAGAAAAAAAAATCCCGTAACTGGTGTGTACTGTTGAATGGAAATGAAGACAATTCTTGTAGAGATATAGATCTAGTCATCATGGTCCTCTTATACGGCATATTCTCTCACTAATGATTAGTAAGTGAGACTGTTTAAAAAAATCTAAACACCATAAACTAAGTCAATATTTTATCCATGCAGCTGATTATGGTCAGTTTCCCTTCCATATGTATAGGTACAAGCATTGCCATAGAAAGATATTTTATCCAAAAGTTCCTAATTCATTCAGATTGTGCTTCCTTGTCCTCCTGCCATCTGATGCCCGTGGGTAGCTTTTGAAAGCCTACCAGACTAGTGTGGAGCATATCTTTATGTAGATGAAGGTTAAAAGCATGGACAAAGCATTAAACAATTGTTCCATTTTTTTATAGATGATAGATCCACAGATATACAGAGCTTAAATGATGAATACATAAATCACATAGTACACTTACCAGCTGTGTCTACTCTGAGCACTTTGTACAATAGAAAATCTGCCTTTTCTTTCAAAAGCTGGTTTTGAAGCGTTCGTTTAACATCTGTTGCCTTCCATGTTTTAAGGGGATGTCCACTTTGGATATAGAAAAGGATCACAGTGCTGTTTTTTTTAACAGAATACAGTCAATCAGACAATTAGTAAAAGAAGACTCCAATTCATTCAAAGCAATGCAACAATATTTGTTTTAAAGAGACAAGACCCCTGCTAGTGTGGGCTGGCTTTGACGACTGGCCTTGATGTTCCCCAGACCCTACCCTCACTTCTTGCTCCCTTCCTCCTCTCTGTTTCTTTCCCTTTTCTCTGTGCCCTCTTATGGTCTATATGGTTCCAGGACTGCCAGATTTGTTGTTGCCCAGAATTTCCTGACCTGCTTTACTAACTGAGAGGATCACCCTGGAATTTCTTTTGTTTTTTTTTTTACCCTGTTTGTATTCATGACCATGATGACTGAATGTAGAGGTCACCCCTCCTTTGGTTGTTCATATACAAGTTTGCCAGCTTTAATGTCGCCTGTCCTAGCCCCTGTGTGGGCAGATTGGGTGCCTGCTCTTGTTATTCTGTCTTAAAAATGAATAAAAATGTATTGAACTAGAAGTGACAAGACATCCTTGTTATATCTACTGAGGGAGGGCCACACCTAAAAAATTCTAGAAAAAGTTTATGGAACTTTGAAACTTAACATTATAGCAAAAACTGCTCATTACATTTTGTAACCCCAGAGAAAAGGGCCATAAAACATTTCCTGATGTATTAGGCCTCAATCACGCTGGCACTGTCAATGTTTACATACATTTAGAGGACTAAAGAAATTAGATTTTCAAATGTATATGAATGCATGTAATGATTTTTAATGTGCGTTTACCTGCGTTTAGGTAAAGTCTGTTTAGCTCTAATTACAGAAAATAGACATCTGTGTGTCTGGGATTTGATAAGACATTCAAGGCTAAATGCGACTAAAAGAAGCTAATACAGGAAAAAAAACATAAAAGTTCTTTGTCCTTTCCAGATAAAATACCCTGCATTTAGAAAAGCTTAGCACAGAACTGCCAAGGTGAACGAGGTCTTAGGCTGCCAAATTATGTGTGAAAGTGTAACTTATGAGCTATACAGGTGAAACTCGAAAAATTAGAATATCGTGCAAAAGTTAATTTATTTCAGTAATGCAACTTAAAAGGAGAAACTAATATACAAGATAGACTCATTACATGCAAAGCAAGATAGTTCAAGCTGTGATTTTGTCATAATTGTGATGATTATGGCTTACAGCTCATGAAAACCCCAAATCCACAATCTCAGAAAATTAGAATATTACATGCAATCAATAAAACAAGGATTGTACATAGAACAATATCGGACCTCTGAAAAGTATAAGTATGCATATGTACTCAGTACTTGGTTTGGGCCCCTTTTGCAGCAATTACTGCCTCAATGCGGCGTGGCATGGAAGCTATCAGCCTGTGGCACTGCTGAGGTGTTATGGAAGACCAGGATGCTTCAATAGCGCCCTTCAGCTCTTCTGCATTCAAGGCGCTTTTAGTAACAAGCAATATGTGAGTGCAGCCATTGTTGATTTTTTACTCTGATCTATTAGATGTTTACCTGTGATAGATGTACGCACTTCCCTGTCTTTCTCCTTTTGTCTTTCTGATCTAAACTATCACTTGTTCAGTGAGCTCTAGTTTGAAAGCACTATCTTAGTACTTTCTCTTCTGTATGTAAATTGTGTTGCACATAACTGCTCACTTTTTAACTCTAAGGGCTAATTCATTGAGGAAATGCAGGTTACTTTCAGGTGCATTTTGTTGCTTTTGAGATCAGTTTGAAGCACTTCTGTGTTCCTTTGTAGGTGCTTCGCCCTTCCATCCTCCTTCTAAACTGCTATAGTCTGCTTCAAGCTACTTTTGCATTCCCATTGATTTGGGGAGAAAAGCAGCCATGGTGTAAATAAAAGTCCATATACACAGGTCCATGTATATAGGCTCAGGATAGACATGTACAGTTGCAAGAAAAAGTATGTGAACCCCTTGGGATTACGTGGAGTTTTGCATGAATTGGGCATAAAATGTGCTCTGAACGTCATCTAAATCACAACAATAGAAGAACACAGTCTGCTGAACATAATACTACACAAACATTAGATGTTGCCATGGTTTAATTGCACATACCATGTAAGCATTCACAGTGCAGGGAGGAAAAAGTATGTGAACCTTTGGACTTAATAACTGGTTGACCCTCCTTTGGCAGCAATAACCTCAACCAAACGTTTCCTGTAGTTGCAGATCAGACCTGCACAACGATCTGGAGTAATTTTGGACCACTCCTCTTCACAAAACGGTTTCAGTGTAGCAATATTCTTGGGATGTCTGGTGTGAATCGCTCTCTTAAGGTCATGCCACAGCATTTCAATCGGGTTGAGGTCAGGACTCTGACTGGGCCACTCCAGAAGGCGTATTCTGTGCTGTTGCAGCCATTGTTTTGTTGAATTACTTGTATGCTTTGGGTCATTGTCCTTTTGCATCACCCATCCTCTGCGGAGCTTCAGTTGGCGGACAGATGGTCGTACGTTTTCCTGCAAAATGTCTTGATAAACTCTGGAATTCATTTTCCCATCAATGACAACAATCCGTCCAGGCCCTGAGGCAGCAAAGCAGCCCCAAACCATGATGCTCCCTCCGCCATGTTTTACAGTGGGGATGAGGTTTTGATGTTGTGTGTGTGTGTTCTTCCCAAACAACTCAATCTTGGTTTCATCTGTCCACAGTATATTTTGCCAGTAGTGCTGTGGAACATCCAGGTGCTCTTTTGCAAACTTCAAAACGTGCTGCAATATTCTTTTTGGACAGCAATGGCTTCCTCCGTGGTGTCCTCCCATGTACTCCATTCTTGTTTAATGTTTTCCTTATTGTAGATGTGTCAACAAAAATGTTAGCATGTGCCAGAGATTTCTGTAGGTCTTTAGCTGACACTCTGGGATTCTTCTTTACCTCATGCAGCATTCTGCGCTGTGCTCTTGCAGTCATTTTTACAGGACGACCATGCCTAGGGAGAGTAGCAACAGTGCTAAACTTTCTCCATTTGTAGACAGTCTGTCTTACCGTGGACACATGAACATCAAGGCTTTTGGAGATACTTTTGAAACCCTTTCCAGCTTCATGCAAGTCAACAATTTTTGATCGTAGGTCTTCTGAGAGCTCTTTTCTGCGAGGCATGGTTCACATCAGACAGTGCTTCTTGAAACCAGTAAACCCAAAACAGGTGTGTGTTTTTTAAGGGCAGGACAGCTGTCAGCAACACATCCAATATCATCACACTGATTGGAGTCAAGGTTGGCTCACTCCTGGCTCCAATTAGCTCTGGGAGAAGTCATTAAGCTAGGGCCTCACATACTTTTTCCTCCCTGCACTTTTTCCTCCCTGCACTGTGAATGTTTACATGTTGTTATGTGCAATTAAACCATGGCAACGTCTAATGTTTTGTGTAGTATTATGTTCAGCAGACTGTGTTCTTCTTTTTGTGACTTAGATGACGTTCAGAGCACATTTTATGCCCAATTCATGCAAAACTCCACGTTAATCCCAAGGGGTTCACATACTTTTTCTTGCAACTGTAGATCTCAACCTGCAAAAAATGATAAGTAGGGGCATGTTCCTGACTAGCCACTATTTATAGTGTGATTCATCCACTGAGAAGACATGATGTGTACAGTCACTATATTCTCTACCTACTATCAATAAGAAGAGGGAAGGATTGGTCAAGCTGGTACATTTGTCAGGCAAACAAGTGCATCTGACATTGGAGGAACTTATTGTTGCCTATGTGTGTCTCAATGCACATAACAATCTGACCCTCATCTGAATCAGGGTGGGGATGGCCTGTTTATGACAAGCCTAAAGTCCAACTCCAGGAAACTTGAAAAGCACCCTTACAGTGGGGCTGCTAAATGCTTGTATAGGTATAGGGGACTTGTTAAAGTAGATTTATTTACCCGATTCTCTGCTCCTTTGTGCTGCTAGACTGGTCCCTCCAACATCTTCTCCCTATTCCCCAGCAGTCTAAGGTCCCAACATCATCAACATCAATGCAAGGTCCATAACTCTGCACTGGACATGACACAGTGGTAGTGTGCAGAAATGCCATCTGCTGGGGGAGCAGAAGATCAGTTAGTAAAATTGGTTTTACTTGCTCCCCTGGACTGAACAAGCAGTTAACTCTTGCAGTGAAGACGCAGCCTCTCTGCAAGGGTCAATTTTCACATTTCCTGGAGTTGGGATTTAAACTAGATATGTATACACATTACAATCTCATTGTACAATCTCCTTTAGATCTACCAAAAACAATGTAGTTCAAGGATCTGCTTAATAGAATAGAAATGGAATAAACTGTACATATACCTTAAATCTGAATGTGCTTGTATCTTCTGAACTTTAACATCAGAATCAAGGACATTGAGAAGAACAGCCAGTTGTCTCACCAGAGTGTCTTTCTGTTGTTCACTCAGCTGCCTGACTGCAACCTCTAAAATTAGTTCAACCAGGCTTTGTTTCCTTGGATCTTTAGCAGGAAAAACGAGATCAAAGGGTTGGTAAATTTAAAATTATGAACCAATTTCAAAAAGACAAGTTGTAATATGAAGAGAAATATAGTGATAAAATATGCGTCTATGATTATTTAAGAGGAAAAAGTGATCAACAAGTATCTTAGGTTGAACCTCTGCTGTTCTATGACAGCGATGAAGTGCAGACACCTTGTCATACCTGCAAGTACTTGTGTTAGGCTTCAAAGCATGGAGCTCCTTGGATTCTAAGCCCAGGCTTTACATGGGGCCTTGACATCTGCCTGATTTCAGAGGGCAAGAGAAGCGTCGGCATTTGACAGAAGACTGATAGGCCATGGGACTTGTTGAATTTCAGACATTGATATAATACCTAGTTATATTGATCCAGCTTGCTTGGACCAATGTAACTGTGAATATGCCATGCCATGGCCCATGCTCCTGGAAGCTGGACATCACTGAAGCAGATATTGCTACTTCAGTGTTATCCACTTGCCTCCAGGTCCAATGCTGAGCAGCTGCTCTCCTGCATTGAGAGTACAGGAGGTTGGCTGCTCAGCACAAACGCCATTCTGAGAATTCTTTGCATTTACTGAATGAATGCAAAACATTCTCTAATTGAATAAGGTGGACAGGCAGGGCGGTGAAATCACATGCTCCACCACATCCAATCAGAGATTGCTTTTCATCATTCAGAAAATAAAAAGCATTTTCTGAATGGTGCCATGCCGTTCTTCCAGGGGCATGGGTCAGGTATGGTGTAAAACATAGTTATATTAGAGCAGTTGGCAAGTTGGAATTCTTCTGCAATTCTTCTTTAACTTGCATGGATGACAATATTCCATGTGCTGCCTGGGCCTAAGATCAAAGAAGTTCCACAGGGTCACTGGGATTGATCTGAAGACTAAATCCGACCATAAACTGATCAAATCGATTCTATTCATCATGGACAGGCTGGTTGTACTGAAGTCGATCCATCGATCAACTTAATTACAACCAGCCTGTCTGATATAGCTGCCAGCAGTGAGCAGGCTTCCTACCAGCAGAACACAATAACTGTGTTGATGGGAAATCGAGCAATTCCACCCATGGTGGAAGAAGAAAATTGCATGATCTATAGGTGCTTATAGGCCAAGTTCTGCTTTAATTACTGTATCCACATACAAATCTTTCAGTCTACCCTGAACGATGATCACGGTTCACTGGCAGCATTAATGTATGAATAGCACCCATTTATAAAGAAAGCATACTGGGATCTGAATGTAGTAGGATGCCTTTACCTGTAATCAAATATGTATTCAGCATGCAAAAGCTAATTAAGCTTCTGTGGGCCTATTTCACAGATTAGTCCATTCAGAGCTATGGGGCAGGATGAGAAATTATTATCCAATATCTAAACATGTTATTAAGTCAAGTTTTTGATGTATATAACAGGATCAATGGTGAGTCCTTGGCCCCTTCGCCGGAGATTGCTCTCCTTTCCATATATCCGGGATCACTAGCAGCACAGAAGAAAAGTTTGTTGCGTTTCTTTCTATCTGCAACCCACCAATTGATACCCCTCTTTTGGAAAACAGACCCCCCCCCTCGCCTCTTCTGTTGTGGGTTTCTGTGCTTAATGATATCATGCGTATGGAGGAAATGCTGGCGTTTTCCAATGATACCTATGATAAACACAAGTTGCTGTGGTCGATCTGGCTCCATTTCTCCTCCTCTTCGACAATCTGAGATATGTGTTCCCCTGTCGTGCCCTAATGGAGTTGAACCTTGCTGTCCCGGCTCATTTTGAAATGTCCACTGGTTAGGCCTTGCGGCTCGCGCCTGTGGGCAGGCCATGGGGTCACTCCGGTAGGAGGCCTCTTTGACCCTGCTTATGTCGTTCCCATTTCCCGACCCTCTCTCTTCTTGCCCTCTATTATTTCTACAACTAACTTCTCTCTTCTTTTCTTTCTATACTTTTTTGTCTTTTTTCTTCATTTGGGTTATACACCTAGCCATACAGAGTTATTTCACTTTGTTTCATAAGTCCCACCGGGGGAATCCCCGCTTGCAAACATGTTTTTTCATATCTCTGTAATATATGTTGTTGATCCTTTCATCTTCCCGTTGTATGGAATCATTTTCACCCACCCACATGGATCATCTCCACTTCTGTGATATCTGTATGTTCATTTATCTGTACATTATCATTATTTCTAATGTTTTGTTCTGTTAAATGTGATATAAAAAAATATAATAAAAGACAAATTTGCCTTTAAACATGTTATTAATATTAATAGTAAGTATCCTGCCTAAATTGCTCCCTGCCAATAGTACTGATCTTTCAGATTTGACATACTCGCATGACCAATCCTGCCACAGATTCGATCACACGGCACAGATATTATTGTGTCAAATATTTTTTTTGATATTGGTTTGCATGAGCAAAAAAAATAGCTACAAAGTATATCTCCCTGGCATTGTATTAACATTCATACCAGGACGCACTTCCACTGTGGCTGTGTCCATATCTGACTCTCCTTTTGCATCTGTGACCGTCAAATGAAACAAATAAATTCCTTCCACCAGATTAGTGAGTTGAAGAACTGGTTTATGTTCAGATGAGTCCATCACTTCCTGTCAAATAATATTTGTAGAGTTAACAGTCAAGAAAAAATATAAATAATATAGATGTATTAAATTAATTGAATTTATAATTTCTCTCAAAATGTCTGAAATAGTTAATTTTTTACTATTTTTATCAGTGCATTCTGGGCATTTGGGAAGGTCTCCCGAGGTTATCTTTTAAAAACATTTCTAAACGCAAACGCACATAAACATGCATAAACACGGTATGCAAACACAGCTAAACTGACGTTTTTTAACCTATTTTCTCCAGCAGTCAGTTTCCATCGTTCAGAAGAGTTTTCCAAATTCCCCGTGTACATGAGCCCGAAGGCTGGCTTCATACAGCTGGGTTGCACTTTAATGGGTATGTTACCACAATGTGCGCAAATGTGTGTTTTTGCGTGTTGGTGTGCTGCAGAATAAGTCATTCCTAACCTCTTGGCACTGGCTGAACGCAAATATGCGTCTGGGCCTAGATGCTGAGCGGCCGCACATTTGCGTTCTATTAAAAGAAAACATATGTGCTGAGAGCGCGTGCCCTGCTCGCTCCCAGCACATATGTCCGGTACTCACGGAAAGGTCCCGATCTCTTTCGATCGGGACCTTTCCCGATCATGTGACCGCCATGACGGCGTGTCACGGCAATCACATGACCCTAAACCCAGCCCCGCTTCCCAGCTTCTGAAACACTTAAAGGGCCGGGAGGCACTGGCGCCAAGGGGTCAATGACACGCCAAGCCACCTTGCCAACAGATGTGCATTGCAGGGCACGCTAATGCACTACTGTGCATTGTGGTGTGCTACTTAACAAAAATATTGTATATGGTTTTATTTGGAGCATTAGGCAGCCCAATCAAATGAATGGGCTGCCTTAACACAACATGCGTGTTAATATACAGCAGGAGTATGAACTCTTCCCAGTCTGAACCAAGTGCTACTGGGCTGCAGCAGAGAAAAATCAGGTGCCCTCCCCTGCCAGACAGGGCTGTGCTGTGTGGCAGAGCTGCGTAAAGTTTTAAACACTGGATGGCCAGTAATACAAATGCTTTGGCAGGTAATACCGCTCCCTTATACAGTGGATACAGTGTGATGTAAAAAAAAAAATGAGACAAAGATAAAACATTTCAGAACTTTTTCCACCTTTAATGTGACCTATAAACTACTATTCAGTTGAACAACAAACTGAAATCTTTTAGGGTGAAGGGAAGTAAAAATAAAAACTAAAATAATCTGGTTTCATAAGTGTGCACACTCTTAAACTAATACTTTGTAGAAGCACCTTTTGATTTTGTTACAGCACTCAATCTTTTTGGGTATGAATCTATCAGCATGGCACGTCTTGACTTGGCAATATTTGCCCACTCTTCCTTGCAAAAACACTCCAAATCTGTCAGATTGCGAGGGCATCTCCTGTGCACAGCCCTCTTCAGATCACCCCACAGATTTTCGAACAGTTTCAGGTCTGGGCTTTGGCTGGACCATTCCAAAACTTTAATCTTCTTCTGGTGAAGCCATTCCTTTGTTGATTTGGATGCATGCTTTCGGTCGTTGTCATGCTGAAAGATGAAGTTCCTCTTCATGTTCAGCTTTCTAGCAGCAACCTGAAGGTTTTGTGCCAATATTGACTGGTATTTGGAACAGTTTATAATTGCCTCTACATTGACTAAGGCCCCAGTTCCAGATGAAGAAAAACAGCCCCAAAGCATGATGCTGCTACCACCATACTTCACTGTGGGTATGGTGTTCTTTTGGTGATCTCCAGCTACATCCCCAGTTATAAGAGGGTGTGTACACTTATCCAACCACATTATTTTAGCTTTTTATGTTTATTTTCCCCCCTAAAAGATTTCAGTTGTTTTTCAATTGAGTTGTACAGTTTATAGGTCACATTAAAGTGGAAAAAGTTCTGAAATTATTTATCTTTGTCTAATTTTTTTACATCACAGAAACCCGACATTTTAACAGGGGGTGTGTAGACTTTTTATATCCACTATATGTACAGTATTTCATTTGTGTATTTAACCATTTTCCTAGAATTTAACCTTGACTTCATTTATGCAAAATGCAAAGGAGGAGCAGGGTTAGAAACATCTCAGTGTTCCTTGGTGAACTGGCAGGAACAGAGTTAGAAATTATGGCAAAGAGATATTACTGCTAGGGTCTTCAATGGGTAAATAAAGCCAGAAAGTGACCTAGACCACCAGCCTTCACTAACAGCTAAAATAAAGTTTGGATGGACCCTTTTTTAATGTCCTAATTTTGTTATTTACTCACCCCAGCTGCTGGGCTCTGACCATCTCTCCTCCACTGGTATGATAATATCCCCTGATCATCAACAGACTTTGATCCATCCAGTGAAATGGAAGTATTGGGAAGAACAAGGACACGTGTTCCACCAGCATGAGCCTTTGGAGGGCTATTTTTTCCTATAATTGAAAATAAAGGTTTAGGCTATAAGCAGTCCTTCTGAACAAAGAGTGCAGGATGCTTTTCCATATATATTGTTATTTTTATAAAATACAGGTGTACATTTTATTAAGTCAGGGTTTACCTTACTATAGAAATCTCAAATAGTTTTGGCAAAGGGTTAAATAATTGCAACAATTTTTTTTGCCGTTTAAAGAATCAGATGACTCAACATACATTATACCTTTCCAATTTGTGTGTATCAGTTTTCTTTTGCAAATTCTTTCTTTATACACATTTCTAAGTATAAAGTACATAATAACAAATGGAAGTTCTGGCATGCAAACCTTTATAGCAGCGGTAAAATATAACAGATAAAGGCGCGAGATGGTAAGATGAATATAGTAACAGTAGACCTGCCAAACTATACATTTACAATAAAAGGATTGATGTGGTAAGCTGGAAAAATTGTTCTCCTGTATATTATTTTTGTTGATGATAATGTCATTTGTACCGTGAAATATTTTTTTCAACTTTCTGGATAATCCCGCGATGTCCCAGCTATAAAACTACGAAACGTGTCGGCATTTATCAGCAGGCTGCAACTACAGCCATGTATTTGTATGGCTTTTATGCAAGTTGACATGTACATAATTGTATCAATTTGTGGGGTGGTGGTTATGTATTTGCCCACCATTTTTTAAATGTGATTTAATAAACATATCGTTTTATTGTATATTAATTGTGTTGGTAATTTAGTACTGTGCCTTTAAAGTCCTTCTACACTGAGGGTATGCCCCTCTTTTTTTTTGGGGGGGGGGATCCGTTGACTGTACTGGGATGTGGCACCATACGCCTATTTCCTGAGATGTGGTAAAAATAATCGTTTTAAATAAAAAGATTGTTGTAAAAAAAAAAGTTAGCGGGGGAACAGGATAGCTACATACTGCATAAGATAACATTAATGCAGAAGTACAAGAACTCTGGTGTACATTTTTTTCAAATCAAGTTAGGGTGTCAAAATCAGAAGAAAAGAAAGGGTATGGGGAGGATGCCGCATTTAAAATCTGAAAAAAAGAAAGGGCATGGAGGGTGCCATGTTCAGTGGGTGGGGGAAAATTGATTTGCTATAGGATTTGAGGGGAATGTAGGAGCTATGTGAAGAAGGTGGGGTTATCTAGGATCAAGTAGTCTGTGAATTTTTCAGCTATGATCCTAACTCAGCAATGGGCAAACTACGGCCCGGCGGACCTTTTAATCCGGCCCGCGGAGTTAGGCTCCCGCCCTGAAGACCGGTGTAGCATGAAAATCTGTCTCCTATGAGGATCTGTCCCCCTCGACGTATCTGCGCATGTGCCGGAGATCGCCAATCGGCTGCTAATGCCTGAAACTGGCACATGCGCAGATACGTCGAGGGGGACAGATCCTCATAGGAGACAGATTTTCATGCTACACCAGAACGGCGCAGGAACACGGCGAGAGGAACGCGTGGAGCAAAGGTAAGTGAATTGACACAGGGGGGACTTGGGGACTTAATATGGGGGATGAATTACTATGGGGAATGAATTACTATATGGGGGATGAATTACTATGGGGGGGATGAATTACTATGGGGGGGATGAATTACTATAGGGGGGATGAATTACTATAGGGGGGATGAATTACTATAGGGGGGATGAATTGCTATGGGGGGGATGAATTGCTATGGGGGGGATGAATTACTATAGGGGGGATGAATTACTATGGGGGATTAAATACTATGGGGGATGAATTACTATAGGGGGGATGAATTACTATAGGGGGGATGAATTACTATGGGGGATGAATTACTATATGGGGGATTAATTACTATATGGGGGATTAATTACTATATGGGGGATTAATTACTATAGGGGGATGAATTACTATGGGGCATGAATTACTATAGGGGATGAATTACTATATGGGGGATTAATTACTATGCTTACTATGGGGGAATATTACTATACTTACTATGGATGACACATACACATCATTCATCTACTCTTGGTCCGGCCCCCGGGTCTAATATATGAACCCATTGCGGCCCTCAAGTCAAAAAGTTTGCCCACCCCTGTCCTAACTCCATGTTCAAAGGTTTTCATGTTGGGCATGAACAGAATATATGATATAGAGTACCTCATTCTGCATTGCAGTGGAAGCATAAGTCTGGGACAGTAGGGTAGAGGTTATGTACACCGATGGTATCCTGTACCACCTGGTCAGTATCGTTAAGTTGGTGTCTTAATGATTAGTGTAGATAGAGCATTTCAGTGAGAAATGTAAAATCCTCCACTGTTCCGGCACAAAGTCGACAGAGACTCCTAAGTCACTTTAGTGGCAGGTATGGAGCTTTGTAGTCCTGTGTTAGTAACTCAAGTTTCAGGTAGATTATGTGAGTGGGTCTGTACAGGTACAAAGCTGTCTGTAAGGAGTTTGGTGAAACCCATTGAAGAGAGTAAAGTGGGTGGGCTAATGGGAATGGCCTAAAACTGTACAGTGAGAGGCACTGACTTTCTTTTTAGAAAACAGAGCCAGAAAGGGAGCCATGGATAAATCTTGGGTTGTGTATATTGTAATAGCCGTAGAATATATGCCAATGGATTGCTCAATGATAGGATATAGTTTTGGAGTGTAGGGATGTGGTGAGCACACCAAGGTAACCTGTTGAGGAGGAAGTCAGAAAATGTTTAAGGTGGGCATGTCTGCACTAATCATGTAGCGTTACTAATTGACGGGCAGAGTTGTATGTAATTATTTAAGGTAGGGCATTATCCCTGTAAGTTTTGGGTAATGTCAATAAAGAGTGTTTGAATCTAGGATGTTTGTTTGCCCATACAAACCTAGTGAATGTAGTGTTGACTTTCTGAGGAGGGAGGATGGGATTTAAAAAACTGTAGAAGATATAGAAATTTGGGAAGGATTGCCATTTTGATAGTGTTACAGTGTCCACAGCAGGTAAATAATTCTGTATTCCACTCTGCTAGTAATAGTTTTACTTTTTTGGAGAAGTAGTGGGAAATTAAAGGAGAATATGCCTTTCAAGTTGGCCAAAATGAGAGTTCCCAGGTATTCAATGGCCAACAAGGTCTATTTGAATTTAAAGCTGAAGTCCAAACTGGCCCAAACAAACTATTTCCATTACTAAGTGATTTGGCCACTGTGTGCACTGTATCATACTGTAGTAGAATCAGCTACTTACAGCCGGCTGTGAAGTCCTGGTGCTTCACATCCAGCTTCCCATTGCACATGTGTAAGTAGTACTGCACTTTCCAAAAGGATCTGCAGCCTGAGGCACAGGCAATCAAATACCACCGAAAGAAAGCTCAATTTGTGGGGAAAAAAAGGACGTAAATTTCATTTGGGTGCAGCATTGTATGACCGCGCAATTTTCAGTTAAAGTAACGCACCGCCATAACGCTAAAAATGGCCTGGTCATGAAGGGGGGGAAATCCTCAGGAGGGCAAGTGGTTAAAAATGGAACATATTGTACTGTATATTGCCAATTCTCCAAGGGTATGCAAACGTTTGAACACAACTATATGCTTTGTGTGCTTCCCATATAAACACAGTTATTGTAATGTCTATCAGATATTTATACGTTAATCTTTCTGGTACAAGATCATTTTTTTCATATTTCACAGACATAATAAAATGTGCATGTGCCAAGTAAAAATATTTTTATATTTTATGAATGCAAACATTATGTTACACAGTATTTTGCTTAACTATATTTTCAGTAAAAAATAAAACTAAAATTATATTTTGTGCCACAAAATATAAAACTGTGCTGAGTGAATAGATACCAAACTTGTCAAGCCTCAAAATTGCATGCATCTGTGAAATGGAGACAAACTACGACACCCAAATACAGTATGTAGATAGGCTATACTTTCAAAACCTATTAAACCCCTGATGTCCTCCTTGCACTGTGCCCAAGTTCAGGGGGAAAAAAAAAAAAAAAAAAAAAGAGTCTCCGATCCGCTCCTAACCTAGTCACTATCGGCCGGGATCTGACAGCTCTGAACCAGAGCAGGTTTAGTGACAGCCAAGGGGATTGGAGAACAGATGTTCCTTAATCTCCTGCTCGTCATCCTGACTTGCCAGCTTCTGCAGAAGGGGCTTGACCAAAAAAGGTCTGTCGATCGGCATCCGATCAGTGCTCTGAGCCAATGGCTGAGAGTGCTGAACAGTGTATTTTGGCGAAGGGCCCTCCCCCTGTTAGAACACAATAGCTCAGCAGAGGAGATCGCTATACTAACATTATTTTTCAGTACAGTGGCTCCTCCTGAGCTCTGCAGTTTTTTTTGTTCATCTTGCTGGGTTGAACGAAAAAAAACTGCTAGTGTGTACCAGGCTTAAGGATGACAGAAGCAAAAAAAAAATTAAACCAAAAATTTAAAAAAAAGTATAAATATTTTAAAAAAAAAGACTCAATGAACCACTTGGTTTTATTTCATATCATTATTCTATGTTTCTATGGTACAAGAGACTACAATAACATATTCAAACTGACTTGTGATTGCCTCAAAAAAATGTTGAAAAGTCAGGAATGGTGAAATCTGTTGAAGAAGCAAGTAAATTCCAGATGCCCTTGGCAATCTGTTCCAACAGTAAGCACCCCAATCCCTGATAATGGAATTTAAAGTAACAACAATACATTTTCCAAAGGGCTATGAACAACTGTCGTATTGCATTGTATTTGAGGATATTGTTTATTAGCTTGCACAAATACTTTTAGTGAGAAAAAAAACATTCCCCTCTGGCCGATCTATATACATTGCAATAATTTGAACACACTTTTTTGTAGACTCCTACCTTTTGTTATTCTGAAGAAAGAGATGGATTTTGTCTGTGTCCATGTGCCAAATTAATGGGAATGGGAGTAATTCCTAATTATCAATCAGCTGCTGCACCTGCAGGGCTCTAATGAGGAAAATTGCAAGGTCTGCATCCCTTTAGATGTGATTTCCCTTCAGGGGTATCTCACCAAAAATGGCATTTTTGTTGCAGGGGATGCTAGAGATCTGACTTGTATCTTAGTATATACTTCTGGGAAAATCACTGAGCCAATCTCATAAGCAGGAAATGACATTTTGTGTACAGAACACCTCCAAGTAGCCATATTGCATTTTACAGAACATGAGAACTGCTAGAAAAGGAAATTTAATTTTTAATAACATTTATTTGCTATTTTTTCCACAACAAAGTGGAGTTACCCTTTAGTTTAGGTTCACACCTAATGCGTTTTCCATTGCTTTTTGCAGAAACGCGCAGCAGTCCATTTAACATTTAACATGATTTCCTATGAGACAGGTTCAACATTTCTGCGTTTTCACCTGATTCTTTATTTGGAAAGGGTTAGGGACTTTTTAAAAAGCAAAAACATTGTGTTTTTGGTTTAATAGACTTCAATGGGGATGCTGCAGAAAAGCATTTAGTGCATTTTGATGTATTTTGCATTTTAATCTGCCCAGCAACAAGTTGGAAAAAATGCAAACCACAAAACACATAAAAAACGCATCAAAAACACGTGCAAAAAACACAAAGCACTGCAGGAAGGGATCAAATGCAAATTGCATAGGTGTCAACCTAGCCTTAAGCAAGATCTCTTCATTTTTAGAGGCTTTGTAAAAAAGACTGCTTTATGGGTGTAATGCCTATGAAATGTGTTGGCCTTGGACCCTTTGTTTCTTGGGTAATTTTTACAATAAAGCATTGTTGTTCAAATGCCTGGGGCATGAGAGGTGACTGATGTGTCATTTCTCTAGGTCAAAGGAACAAAGTCACAAGATATTCTGATGAGAGGAAGATAAAAAACTTGTTTATGGAATGAAACGTGTTTATGACATCTACTAACCTCACATTAGGAGATAAAAACCTCTTTAAAGACATCTAAGTTAGAAATCTGTAAGTCTGGGGGAGATGAGAAGAGGTTTTGGGGTAGATAAGAAGCAAAAGTGTGACTTTTCAGATAATGAATATGGTGGTTGAACGTGACTCTGTTATCCTCACGGAACCCTTCTGCTAGCTCCTCCTGTGGTGGGTGTGGTGCTGCCCACTATTGGACAGCTTCCAGAAAATTGGTTTATAAGGTGGAGGTCTGGGCAAGACCAGTAGAAGCCCCCCTTAGTGGCCAGAAGACGCTGTGATGCTGGGATTTTTGCCAAGACTATATGGGCTCATCGACTGGTCGCGCCTATGACTTCCCCGTGACCCCCTGGGCAGTTTGGTTCCAATGGGATTTGTTCCTCCCAACTTCTAACATAGCTTTGGCAGTGTATTAATTCTATGCTGTGATGCTGTCAAATGATGTGTCTATTTCATGCTGTAATGCTCAAACTCTTACTGGTGTATGTTATTATGCAGATTGTGATGACTATAAGATATATCCTCCTGGGTGTCATGTGATAATAAAAGTGGAGGTTTTGACAGTACAAAAATATTGCAGTTGGGTTCTGTTATTTCTTGGAGTGCCGGGAAAATGCTATGATGTGCCAAGGCAGGTGTTCATTTGGTAGATGGTCTTTCACATGCGTAGAATATGTAATGGTTTAAATGCTGATTAAAAGGTACCTGCATGACATGTTGATTGTGTGCGTGTATACGACTTGTTTTTAGTTATTGCACCCAGCATCTCTATTACAATGGGGAAGTAGTAAATATTTCAGTAACATATGTCTCTACTTCACTCTGACTCAAACTAACTGTGATAGAGCATAAATTAAAAATTGATTGACTATAATTACCTAAAGAGCTATGTGCACACACATTTTTATTTATAAATGAGTTACAGCAATCGGAAATAATAAAGAAAACAATTCCGATTACATATTGAAGCGTCGTGCATTTACTGCATGAACTCACACATTCACCTATTAGTCTTTGGTTTTTCTTCCCTATAACCCACAAATGTGAAAGAGGTTGAAATGCAATAACTGGCGTATAGTAAGCAACATTACAGGTAAGAAACAAAAAAACCAAATTTGGGACAGCCTTCATATTTTGTCAAACTTAGGTCGGTAAGTTCTACTGATTTCAGTTTGTTTGTACTTAATGATCGTAACAAAAGTCCTTAAATCTGGTGTGGAGGTATCTTTTCCTTTAAGATACATTACTTTTCTGGCATAGAATCTTTTTGGCTGTTTAGAGTGTTCCCAATATGTAATTTTGCACTATAGTGAGCAATTAATTTTTAGAAGGTATGGCAGATTAACCTCCCTAGTGGTCTGATTATGTCCATATTTCTGTGCTCAAAGCGGTACATTTTTTTGCATGGAAATATGTATTTTTTTTATTGTAGGCCTGTAATTTTTATAAATAACTCACTGAAATCTGTCCGAACAAGAGTCTAGTAAACATCCCAGGTATGTTAAAATTTCAAACACTAAATCATAAATTATAATTTAATAAATAATCATACAAAATAATATAATAATAAATTTAATTCAATAATATAATCAAACCAAAAACACTGAAATTTGAAATAGAGCGCCAAGTTTGCACATCACTGAGCAAAGTCGCAAAGTCGTTTTCAGTGTCTGATGACAAATTTCCCCATGAATAATTATCACTCAATTCTGCAAGTGGTTCTGATTTACTATCGCTGTTCTCTAGCTGGTCTAAAACCGCTTTTGACCTAAAGGGACGCTTTCCGGATGCCATGGACGTTTCTCCGTTTCCAGGCAGAAAGAACAGTAAAAATGTAGGCAGGGCACAGGACAAAGCACTAGGGACAAAATGTATGTGAAATGGTTTGATACAGGAATGTTTTACTATGTGATTTTAGTGAATGTCACTTTTTGTCATTTTCAAATTTCCCGCCGTTCCGCCCCCGTACGTCCCGACATCCGCCGGAGGACATTACAGGGGACACTGCAGGAGGGACATCGCGGGAGGACAGGACAAGGTAAGAGAAGAACAGATCCCGGAGCAGCGCCGCATGGTAAGCTCGAGTGAAGCTCGGGGTTACCGCTTGTGGTACTGAAACTTTACCCCGAGCTACACTCGGGAATACCGCCAGGGAGGCTACAGCCCAGAGCTGTTATCAGGAAGGTTGTATTTTTTGGAACATGACCAAAAAACATTAATTACCATCTGCTGGTATTTCAGAACAATGGTAACATTGGGATGGGTGGTTGATTTCCAATTTGTAAATTAGAGAGTATAGGGTAATCTATGGATGAAATTGAGAATAAAAGTTTAGGGTATGGTATGGATAACTGTAGAAAAGAAGGTTTCCCCCACTTCCTCAAAGTCTGTTTTTGTTAGGAAAGGTATGTCCTTGAACCACTGAAACCAAAAGGAGCAGGGATATATTGTATGTTTGTCACCTGTTTTTAAATAGATTTTAAGTGTGGTAATTTTAAAGGGCGGAGACTTATATTTTCAGAGTCTGTGACCCACATTAGGCACTGAAAGCATGTGGAAGAGTGAGAGTTATTTTTCAGGTGTTCAAAAGACACAATTGTTGTGCCATTATCATATACAGTAAGCAATGGATATATATGTGCTCCCTCTCCACCCTACCATAGTGTATCTGCAATGTTTTAAAGTGTGTGTTCTACAAGGGAGATGTATTAGGTGAGGTCAATGTATCAGTAGTATTACCCAATGTTTTGGCTTTATGTCATATTATAATTCCTATATCAAGGATGGGGGGGGGGGGGGGGGTTCTACTACATTTACCAGGACTGTTGCCATTATTTCAACAGAGCGGTTCAGCCACTGTGTGCTTATACATAATGTTATGGATCAAATAATTAATTTGATGCATTGGTACTGGGAGCTTTCAACAAAGCACAACATAAACAAGGCATTACATCTAATGAACTCTGTTCGATCCAACAGCATATGTTCCTCTAAAAGTAGTCATGTGCAGTAACAATAAATATATTCGTTTGTTACTTCTAATCTCCTTACAAAAATGTTTAACTTAAAACCCTTAATCCTACAAAGTCCTAGCTTTTATTTTAAAACACTGTACTATATGATTCTCATCATCTCTTTCTCCTATCACGTCAGGTTGCCTTCACATTGTTAGAAGTTTTAAAGCTGACACTCACCTGTTTTTCATGTTCAGTGACATGGGGCAAATAGGTGCCTGATTATGACCTATGGCTGTGGGGTCTGTGGAGTTACTAAATCTAACAAACTGGTCATGCTGCCTAAATTCTGAAACCACAGAAATAGCAAGGTGCTTGGCTGCGCTGTGACATTGCCAAGATGTAGTGAAGTGAAAGGCTAAACCTACAGGAGGTTTACAGTTCCATTATGCAATCACTTCTGCCAAAAAAAAAGATAATGTAGACTCTGCAGATCAGACTACCCAACAACATATGGGCATATTGTGCCAAAAAACGCAGACAATCCCCAATGATAACTCTCCTGATTGATTGATTAATTAATTGCAACCAATGTAAAACCAATAAAGACCCGGGGTGTCACACTCACCTGTTTTATGTTCCAGTGATGTGTCTTACCACCAGCTTCATGCAACCAGTCACAGAGGAAATGTTGTCCTAAAGGGCTAGCATGTGGCTTACTCTGTTTTCGAGCAACATGTCGTCATACTAGCAGACCATCTCCCTGTGTTTTCTGGTGACTTCCCCTGTGATCCCCAGCGCCACCCAGTACTGCTTCATTGTTCCCCAGTGCCCGTGTATTCCAGCCTGTGCTTAGCTCCAGTGTATTCCAGCCATTCCCAGTGTAACCATTTCCTTTGGATCCTAGCAATTCCCAGTGTTCCCAGCTTCTGTGTGCCTATCGTGTCCTGAAAACCTGCACCCTGGCTTCATCGTGACTCCCTTTACTCTGGCTTGTTCCCTGCTCCATTACCCCTGTGCACTCCAGCCTGTACCCTGCTCCAGTGTAATTTCATGCACTTCAGCCTGTACTCTGTTCTAGTAACCCTGTGCGCTCCTGCCTCTGTTCAGCAACACTTACCAGCCCTGCATCTTGATTCAGTCCTATGTTCTCAGAACCCTTGTGCTACAAGAGACTCTACCCTGCTTATTCGTACTCCAATGCCTGCTTGCCTGGGTAAGTCAGTGGGCCAAAAACCTGGGATCCATCAGCAACCAGACTCATCTACTTCCAGGAATTCTGATGAAGAATAGACTGTGCCCTAGACACTGCACCTCAGCCCTTCTATAGGCTCCCACCTTCTCTAATCAAGGGGCAGTCTGAGCTCTCTGTGGATTTTGTAACTCACTGCCCCAGCTGCTGTTCTCTGGTTAGCCAGTCTGGTTCCTAATCCCGTTCATGACAGCCTGACTGTGGGTCTAACAGAGTCTAAAAGAGACTTCCAGGAAGACCATAGATGCAATCATGTCAAAGCTCCAAAAAAAACCATAGGTCCATAAGGTCCTTTTAATTCATATAGGTTGGTATCTAGATGCATTGGATAATAGTTCATGCATGCATAACATATATACATAGAGTCTCAGAACTGAATGATGTTAGGATTCAGCTGTTGACTGGAAGAAGAACTGGTAGAAACAAAACTGAAGAAATCAGTCCTAATTCAATTCAGACTGATCAGCTGAAGCTTGGTTTAGTCTATCTTTAACAACCCCATAAAACAGGGGACTCCAAACTGCGGTCTGCAAGCCAGATGTGGCCCGCTGCTTGCCTTTATCTGGCCCTTGGGGCACTATTCTTTCCACTGATATGAGGCAATATTCCTCCTACTGACACCAACGATGGGACACTATTCCTCCCACTGATATCAATAATGGGGCACTATTCCTCCCACTGACATCAATGATGGGGCACTATTCCTCCCACTGACACCAATAATGGGGCACTATGCCTCCAACTGACACCAAAGATTGGACACTATTCCTCCCATAGACGCCAAGGTTTGGACACTATTCCTCCGACTGACACCAAGGATGGGACACTATTCCTCCCACTGACACCAATGATCGGGCACTATTCCTTCCATTGACACCAATGATGGGGCACTATGGCTCCCACTGAAACCAATGATGTAATTTTCTTTACTCCCACTGACCACCAAGTCTATGACATCGTTTCCTCCCATCGATGCCAGGGCATTTTCTACTTCACCTGGCCAAAGTCCGGCCCCTCTAAGGTTTGAAGGGCAGTAAACTGGCCCTTTGTTTTGAAAGTTTGGAGACCCCTGCCCTAGAACAATAAAGTCTCAGGCCAAGAAATGGTGAAGAATGACCACACCATGATGTTATTTGCTTCCTACCTAACTTTCTGCTCAAGGAAAAAATGCTCAGAAGAGAGAGGGACAACTGAAGTCATGTTCTTTCAGGATAATATCATTGAGATAATATTGTACTTTGTGTGGCATCTTGTACATCAGCAGTTACAGAGGCACAGCCTTTGTCTAGTCATTAGCACGCCTTGATTGTAATGGGATATGACCGATAGTAGTTACCTTCTTTAACTGTGATGGAGACAGCAGCTGTGCTGGTTAACCCTTGCTGGTCTTGGACTGTCAAACGAAAGTGGTATGTTCCAATGTGTAGATCAGAAACAACAGCCACTGGTTTATCACTGTTTTGAATTGTCACTGTGGTGGGCCCACTGTAAAAAGGGACAAACTTATGTTAAAACAACAGCAAAATAAATGTGGATTAATCCCTTTTCAAGACAGCGTTTTTACTATTGTGATCTCCACAGGGGCGGACTGACCATTTGGAAACTCGGGCACTGCCCGAGGGCCCGGGGTCAGTAGGGGGCCCCATGAGATGCCCCTGGTACCTTTTTCATAGGCTTTTTTGAGTTTGGGCAAGCACACAGGGGCCCCATGATCCCCTATTGCCCGGGGCCCCATGAGTTGTCAGTCCGCCCCTGGATCTCACATACACATTTATCAAAATGGCTTGAAAAGTGTTTACTTCTAGATTATTCTTTTCATTCTCTAACTTGCTCTTCTTTAAAAAAAAAAATAATGGAATCTATTGGTGCAGTGGTCAAAGACACAATTTTTTCCAATAATTTTGTCTTTCGGCTAATAAAGAACCCAGTTAAAGTTTTAGTCATGGGAAGGATCATCATTAAAATCAGAAGTGTATTTTTAATTTAATTTTCAAATGTCCACCTGAAAAAAATAAATTTTTCCTGGGTTCCTGTGCAATAGAGGTCAGCTTCATGTAACTAATATACAGTATATCACTACGTGTTTATGGTGTAAAAATGTGTTTATTGTATAATTTGTAATTAAATATATGCTGTATATATACACATTAGAGCAGCAATATTTTTTAATTATTTTTAAGCTGGACACACATGGATCGAAATTCGCCTAGTTTAGCAGGGACTGTACCAAACTTGCTCATCAGAGATGGACGCAGAGTCCCCCTTTTTATTAAAAGTATTAATTTATCCTTTATTCTCCTTCCCCCTCCCTTCCTGAGAGGCACAGTGACAGATGTGTGTGTGGTAAAAGTCACTGGCAGGTAGAGCAGCAGGGGGCCCAGAGCTACAAAACCCCCCCATAGAGACAGAGCCTCTCAGAGACAGGCTGTCCAAAAGCCTGTGTAAACTCGCACCTCCTAACAGAGATAAGGCAGCTTCTCCCAGGAGTTGAAAGAGATTGTAACCTCTGCCCCACGATCCTGCCCTAAACAGAGTATTGGCCAGTTACCCAGAACCACCCCCCTGCTGGGGAACTTTAAAAAACAGGCTAGTAGGCTTAGAAAAAAAAGTTGAACACATCTCCTATCTTTCCATCATAACAGCGGGAGATCAAAGACCCTTTTGCTCTGCAACTTGGATCTGCTTACCTCAAAGGCTTAAATGGCAAGTAACTTAACCCTTTAACTTCTCCCTATTATCTCCTTGCTCTGCTATGGTCCTTTGTATGTATATATATATATCTTAGTTACATCTTTTTTCTGTAAATATTTTATTGCACCTGTTTGACTCTTTTAGTAATAAATCTTTCTTTCTGAAAGTGTTAAACTGTTTCTAAAGCACTTAATTGCAATTTACGAATTCCTGCCTTTTGAGGAGACGCTACTGTGTTTGTTTAATCCTCTGCCCAATCGTCCTGTGGTGACCGTATTGGACAGGCGACTTTTCAACCATTACAGTGTATATTTGATAAAGAGAGTTTCCCCTTTCTCTGTACAAAAAGGGGTGGTGGCAGTGTTAAGGGTTAGTTGCGTAATTAACCCGACCCAGTAACAAGCGCATTCAGGCTGCCGGTGCATCGATTGCGTTCCATTAGTTGGACAATCATTGTGCAGGGGTGAAGCTGAGTGTGGAATTGTTACGCACATCACATCGCGGTCTGGATTGGCCAGTCCTTCGGTCATGAGTTTGGTGAGAAGGTCTGGGGTCTGACGTCGCGATCGTGATGTATTGATGGTTGCGGTCATGAAATTGTCGCATGTTGGTGGCGGCGATCTTGCGATCGTGACAGGGACCAGCCAAATTTTGATCCATGTATGGACAGGCTGATTGTACACAAGTTGATCTACTGATAGCCAGCAACACTGATCATTGCATTCTGATGGCGGGGAAGTCTCCCTGCTGTTAAAATACAATAGCATAGCAGGAAGGATTCCCCCATCCACCTTGAATGTGTGGATGGAGAAATAAGATTTTTTTTCCATTTAACCCGCTGGTTGAAAAATTATAAATGTATGGGCTGCCTTAGGCAGGCCATAGATGATGTGATTTTCTTTTCTGCTATCACTCGATTCCCCCATCAACACAGTCAGAAGCTATTGTGTTTTTCTGGTGGGGGGACATGGGGAGCTGTCCCTGCCGGGAGAATACAGTGATTATTGATAGTGGCTATAGCCACTGGCAATAATCACATGTAAAAATCTGACATGCTGGTTGTGCCCAAGTCGATTGATGGATCGATTTAGGTACAATCAGCCTGTCCTTACACGGATCGAGTCTCGGCCTGTCCCTGCTGAACCTGCCTAGATTCAAACCATCTATGACCAGATGTATTCTCACAATCAGTCTTTGAGCCAAAAACAATGCAATCCGTGTTAGACAAATAGACTTAATAGCTGTTGATAGAGAGATAGAATAATTCTAGTGGCTTATCTTCAAACTTCAACATTTAAAAAGGAACTGAATTTTGGAATGTGCCCTACCAGCAGCTGATCATTCCACATTACTGGCTCACCGTGCCTTGTTCTGTACCATGTCTATATGTGGAGGTAGCCAATTGGTAGAGGCAGGGCTATTCTTCCGCTAAGCTTTCAGCAAGCAAAACAATAAGTAGCACATCATGAAATTTCATAAGATTGAAGCAGCAGTGTCTTAGAGCCCACATTGCAAATATTTAGCTATGAAGCTGCTGTGAAAGCAGTGCCTAGGCACCCTCACATTCCAAGAGGTCCACTGCTATTTTCACAAAAAATTCAAAACAAAAAAGGTATATTTTTTATTGTTCTCCTTTGGCATAATTACCATTTTTGGATGTTCCATATAATATACAATGATAACTCCAAATCAATGCTTACTGAACATACACTATACAGTATTTTCTCTTACAAACTAGAGGAGATATGGACGACAAGGCAGAGGGATCCTTCATGTTCATGGTGCAACAGAACCAATGTCTTTATTACTACCAGCTAAAAACTAGTTGTCTTTGTGTATTCACATAATTCTTTAACTGTACAGAGATCATAGATAATATTAGTCTTGGATTATCTTTTGATGATTCTTTTCTCTCAATTCTGCTACTTTATTAAGCTACTACCTGATGTTCTCCCATTCATAGGACACAATGCCGTGGTCATCTTTACTTCTGCTTCCATCTAGTGTTGTAGGTTCCACAGGAAAAGTCAGTTCTTTATCTGGCCCAGCTTCTGCTACTGGTGGACTATTATTTTCTGAAGCAATAAAATATAAGTAAATTACCATGAGAGTGATAGCCATCTCTTTATGAGGTGTGTTACCTATATGGGAAACCTGGGATCCTGAAACAGCCAATAACATTTGGAAAAAAAAAAGAATTTACATTTCTAACATAATATTAGTCTCTTGAACAGTCTGTAATGTCAGGATCCAGCTCACTTAGACCATGTTTAGTATGAAACCAAACATGTATTCTTAAATGTTCTTGAAAGTGTTCATAGCAGCCAAACTTAAGGTTTGGGAGAGAGAAATGAAGCAACTAGGCAACAACCATAGGCACATAAAGATGATTTTACTACATACAGTAACAAAGTTCTTCATGCCAAAAAAACCCAATGGCATGAAATTTGCTGTGATGTCAATTTTGGATGATACACAAGTACATAACTGTAGACGGAGTATAACTAAACTTAATCTGCATGGACTATTTATGGGACCCTTAAAGGGATCTTGCTATTTTAAATGTTTAAAACGAAAACTTTTTCAAGAGCAGCGATAACCAAAAAAACCCTCTCTACTACATTCACTAGCCAAAAAACCCTGGTATTTTGCCCCCTCTGATTTTGACTTTACTTTACTACTAGGGATTCCAATTCCATGCCTTCTGACGTCAGCCCTGTCCAACTACCAGCAACTTGGCCAATGGGGGTAGTCTCACTGGGCACAGTGCAGTAAGGTGGGCAGGCACTATGCCCACTCTAGCCCAGAGCATTCCATTTTAAAATTTTTAAATGGTTTATAGGTTCACACTAAAGATGGTTTAGCAACTTGTATGTTAAATAAAGACTTGTAGAAAAATAAATGTAATTTTAAAAGCATACAGCAGTTAGTTATCTAACTACACTGCTCAAAAAAATTAAAGGAACACTTTGAAAACACATCAGATCTCAATGGGGAAAAATGTCATGCTGGATATCTATACTGATATGGACTGGGTAATGTGTTATGTACGTAAGGATCCCCCATCGTTTGATGGAAATGAAAATTATCAACTTACAGAGGACTGAATTCAAAGACACCCTGAAAATCAAAATGAAAAATGATGCAGCAGGCTAGTCCATTTTTCTGGAATTTCATTGCAGCAATTCAAAATGGTACTCAGTAGTTTGTATGGCCCCCATGTGCCTGTATGCATACCTGACAACGTCAGGGCATGCTCCTAATTTTTTTTTTTTTTATATTATAAATACAACAATTTTCCACACATTAAAATCATACAATCTCCATAGCAAAATTGTTACATAGTCCCATTCCTTCTCTCCCACCTCCCCCCATTTGGTCACCTCCTACCTACTTTAAACCTCTTTCTTCCTGTTCCAGTATTTTATTCCTAACCTCTTTTTAATTCACTCCAATCTCCTTCCCTACCTATCAAAGACTAGAAGAACCATCTTTCCTATCCTATCTTAACCCTTCTTTTACTCTCCGATCAATTCTAAATATTCCTAGATGTTTTAAAAACTGTCCATCTGTCCCAAGTATTCTTACATTTTTCAATTTTATCCTCTCCAGTATGATATACAGTAATTCCTCCTTCCTGTATATAAACTCCACTCTAATTATCCAATCCTTAATTTTCGGGGTTTCTTGAGTCTGCCAGAATTTAGGAATCAATCCTTTCCCCACATTTATTAAGTGAAATATCGTCATGTTCTTATAATGTTTCACTGTGAGATCAGTATTATGAAATAAACAAACCCAGGGATCCTTCAGTACTCTAATCCCCGTTATTTCCTGTATTTGTTGAATTGTTCCCTGCCAAAATTAATGTATTTCAGGACAATCCCACCATATGTGTGCAATTGTTCCTTTCTTCCCACACCCCCTCCAACATAAAGATGAATTCTTTATTTGTTGATTATGTGCCATACTTGGTGTAGTATACCATCTTACTAAACATTTATAATTAATTTCTACTGTATTCATATCCACTGCACCATGTGCTAAATTAAATATTTTCTTTTTTCTTGTTCATTTAATTTTGTTCCTAATTCCTTTTCCCACTATTCTAAAAACGGTGGAGGAACAATTCCAGATATAGCAGTAAGAATCTTATATATGCAAGAAGTAAAGAATGTTTTCACATTATATCCATACTAAATAATTGTTAGAATGGATACATGTCCTCTGTCGATTTTAGTGACTGCGGTAGCGCTGCAACAAAATGTCTTAACACCACTCATCTAACATAAAATGTTTCCTTTTTAATTTTTTAAATCTATAAAAGTGCACAGATCCCCTTTATCAGTAATATCTTTTAACGTGCATTTCTATCTTTTATCCATTTACCTGAAATGTTCTCCCCAATGGTATTAGCAGTGAATTATACTCCCACCCCCTTTGTTTATGAATTCTATCCCATATCCTAAAAACATTTTGTGTTAAAGTGCTTGTATTTTCAGAAACATTTTTAAACTGTTGTAGAAGCCAAATAATCTTATCTAACTGTGACTCACCATTACCCAAATTTTTCCCCATGAGTTATAAATTTGCTATTCGTGAAAGCAACATCGCACAATAATATCTACTAAATTCTGACGCATTTAGGCCCCTATTACTTCTATCTTTACACAATACCTCATAACTAACTCTTGGTCTTTTATTTGCCCATATATATTTAACTATCGTCTTTTTTATTGTCTCAAAGAATGACCCCGGTAAACAGATTTATACGGCCATTCCAAGGGATTGATCCAATGGATATTTTTCTCAGATCATCCTTCAACTCATTTATTAATGGAATGTAGTTTGTCTGATATATGTTCTATAAAGAGGGGGTTAGCATTATGCCTAAATAACTCAAATCCTTTTCCCTCCATACAAAGGGAAAAGCTTTCTGTAATACCTGTTTATCTGTCTTCAAAACATTGATATTTAATATCTCTGCATTCGTGGGGTTAATTTTCAAGTTTGATAGTTCTCCATAACCTTTTAGAATTTTCATTAGGTTACTCTAGGATTTACTATATAAACTAACATGCCGTCTGCATAAGCCGCTACCTTATGCTCCACATCCCCTATCAAAATTCCTTTTACATCTATATTCCTTCGTACAGTCGCCAATAGCAGTTCCAATGACATGGCAAAAAGTAAGGGAGAGAGTGGACATCCCTGTCTAGTTCCATTATACATTTTAAAGGGCTGTTACAGCGAGCCATTAACCTTGACTGCTGCTGTTGGGAAACTATATAACATTTTAATCCATTGTGTCATTTTAGGTCCAATTCCCAAAACTTCCAATGTGTCAAACATAAATCCCCAATCCACCCTATCAAAGGCTTTTTTTTCAGCATCAATTGACAGAACTAATGCTGGATAATTTTCATTCTTACTTTTTTGCAAAAGCAATAATGATCTCAATCCATTATCTTCATTATCCTTCCCTCTCTCCCTGGGATAAAACCCAACTGATCTAAATGAATCCACTCCGACATCAACTCTTTCACCCTATTTGCTAAAACGTTTGCATATAATTTTAGATCTGTATTTAATAGCAATATGAGTCTATAACTGGCACATTGGGATAGATTTTCCCCCTCTTTCGGTATAATGGCTCTGGCAGTGCTCATCCTGTTCCTGCTTGCATAAAGGAGCAGATACCGGTCCTGCTGATGCATTAAGGACTTTCTACAGCCCTGTCCAGCTCTACTAGAGTAACTGCCTGTCCACTGGAAACTCCTCCATGCTCTTGAGACAGTGGGAAACACAGCAAACCTTCTGGCAATGGGCCATCCTGGAGGAGTTGGACTGCCTGTGCAACCTCTGTAGGGTCCAGGTATCGCCTCATGCTACCAGTAGTGACACAGACCCTAGCCAAATGCAAAACTAGTGAAAAACAGTCATAAAATATGAGTAGGGAAAAAAATGTCTGTGGCCTCCACCTGTAAAACCATTCCTGTTTTGGGGGTCGTTTCATTGTTGCCCATCTAGTGCACCTGTTGTTAGTTTCATTAACACCAAAGCAGCTGAAACTGATTAACAACCCCCTCTGCTACTTAACTGACCAGATCAATATCCCAGGAGTGTAATTGACTTGATGCTATGCTGTGATTAAAAAAGTGTTCTTTTCATTTTTTTGAGCAGTGTATATACAGCATTTTTAATAGAATCATGGCACAGTAGTTTTTATTATTAAAATTCTATAGAACACATGTAACACATGAACAATCAGCGCTTACAAGCACTTTCCTCTTTAGCGAGTCATGCAGAAGAACATGTATGATTGGTCACCTCACCTACCAGGCTTCACAGTTACAATTACTTGAGCAGAAGACTGCTGCTTGGCAGAATCTGTCACCGTCAACTGAAATATATACTCTCCAGGCTGCTCTGCTTTAGCTTGAAGGTATGGGGAGCGTACACCCTGTGTAATAGAAAAGTCAAATCACGAGGCTGTTTTAGAAATATGTGTCAAAAATAATAAAAATGAACAAACTCCATGACTCATAGAGAATTCTGTTGGTACATCATCACTGCACAGCTTTTTATAAAACTGAAATACTCAATGAAAGGACTGTATATTGATTTTGTAGAAATGTTATTCTTTTATTATGGTAAGGGCTAAAGTAACAATTTTTTTTTTTTTTTTTGAAGCAAGCTTTGATTGCTGTGCTTTCTCTTTAGATAACCCATAATGCTTTGTGAATACTTTCTCATGTATGAAATATGTAATTGCAATACACAGATTTACATATTTTTTATACACACACACACCCAAAACCATTGAAGCGACCTCGTCAATACAAGATAGATACTTAAAGTGTTACAGGACCCTGCATTCACTATATCTGGTCTCCCACAATACGCAGAACGTGAAAATGCAATTATTTTAGTAAATATAAACTGCTAAATACCTTTTCCCATCAGCAGTATAGAGCAGTCTTATGAATTCTATCAGTGTCCAGCCAAGCACGGGTTAAAGCTTGTAGGAAGAGTTTTCTTTCTGCTCTAGGAGGATGCAGAACCCCTGACCTCTGTCTGAACAGTGCTGATTGGCCCTGTGCTGATCCCATGCACTCTCCCAACGAAAAAAAAAAAACCTCTCTAGCAATACACACCAAACTGAGCATGTGCAGAGTGTCTCCACAAGATATGTCATATCAGGAGATAAGAGAGGGACACTGGTAGAAGGGGAGAATCAGATAAGTCAGGATCAAACAGCATTTTTACACATTACAGAGGATTAACCCCTTATGTTCTACAGTGAGTATATCAAGCATGCTTTACTGCATACACAGACTGATTTTACTGTTGTGGGTCTTGTAACATTTTAAATAATAAAAGCGATGCTATATACTTACCTTTCCAGTGGCATGTGTTTTCAGACACACCACTCTGCAGATCCCTGGCGGCTGCAGGTATTCAATACCTGTTCTTCCCACCACACTCTGTAGACCCTCCTGACAGCTTATATGTCATTACAGGGTGTACAAGCATCTGCAAAGAACCTGTGTACAATAGGGAGAATAGGATATTCACACACCTGGAGGTGTCAAATACCATTAGCAGCCAGGGATCAGCATAGCAGTGGAGTTTACAGACAAAGGCTGCCAGAAAGGTAAATATATAGCATCTTCTTTTGCAGGCTGCCATTCTTTTATTATGAACTCTGTGGTGCCAAGTGTTATTTTAAAGGGACATAAACTCTGTCTGCATATGGCAACAGCTGTATATATAGTACTGTATATGTTCCAGGGTTGTCATCCTTTTTTTCTTTTACTTCTTAGTGAGTCACTGACCTGCCACTTTTGCAGGTCAGTGACATATCAATCGGTATAGGAAGGAGAACAATGACGGCCCGAAGATGACATCTTCAAAAACCTTAAGTCAGCCATGGCAGCTCTCATATTTCTGTCCATGCAGGTTTCTTTTCACAGGATATAAAAGTAAAGTATAATAATAGGGTTGATTTATGAAATCTAAGAACAAAGTTTTTCTTTTATTGACAGACACAGGATTGTAGAACAGTCTTTGAAATGTGGGTTTATACAGCCACCTACGGGATGTAAGAACACTGGCAAAGTAAAAAGCGATAGCCAAGCTGCCATATAAGGCTGCCTTCACACTGATCCATTTTTCTTCTGCTTTTGCATTAAAAAAAGCATAACAAAATAGGGTGACCAAGTAATCCTATGGAACTCTTTACACTGATCTGTCGCGGGTCTGCTGCGTTTTTTTTTTTAAATTTCTTCTTGCTACATATTTTGATGCAGGTTTACACACCAAAAATGCACCTCCCAATTAAAATTAATGGAAAATGCAGCAAAAATGCATAAAAAAAAAACATTAAAAACTTACCCACATTGCGTTTTTGGTGAGTTTTTTTAATCACAGGCCCTGTGAAAAAACAAACAGCAAACGCGGTAAAAACGCATATGTGTTTTGGCTGTGTTTTTGCTATGGATCAGTGTGAAAGTAGCCTAACACTGTCTCCATCTATCATGCCCTAGTTTACAATACATTTTTTACAGATTCAGAGAGAAGCATAACCTCTGGTATGCCTAGTCTCTTAAAACTCTCATAGTGAATGAACCTGGAATGAATGACATACCTCAAATTACTTCACATTTGAAGCAGTTGTGCAGCTTTTATATTTTCTTGCCATTTTTTTCTTTGCTGAGGTGACAGCTAATAATGGAGTAGCTGAACACTGATGTCATCCATTGGGGGGAGGGGGTGGCACAGCACTTCCCTTCCTTTCTCTACTGTTTCTGCCTGAAATAAGCACTATTCTGTTTAGGCTTCATCTACAGTATGTCATTACTTTCCAATCATTTGGTTCCACTGGTTGACTGGTTATAGGGACTTGATCACCTTTGGTCACCTGCTAATGGTTTGGTATACTAGGTTTAGACTTTCACATCAATCATTTTCTTTTTGACAAATTTAACTGCTAGTTTAAGTTGGTTGCCTTTTTTTAGTAAGCATTGTTCCACCTATATTTCTCTTAAGGTTGAAGATTAATTCTCCTTCATATTGCTGGTAGAAACTCTATGCTGCTTCAAGTCTGTTGGACCTAATCTGAAACACTAGGCTGATGTTTCCTCAGAAAAGGTCCTTCTCCATATTGGGTAACTTGTTCTTCATCAAGCATCTAGGCCTTAAACTCCATATCTATTGGTTTCCCTACTCCTTCATATTGCTGCTAGAAACTCTATGCTGCTTCAAGTCTGTTGGACCTGATCTGGAACACTAGGCTGATGTCTCCTCAGAAAAGGTCCTTCTCCATATTGGGTAACTTGTTCTTCATCAAGCATCTAGGCCTTAAACTCCATACCTATTGGTTGCCCTACTCCTCCATATTGCTGCTAGAAACTCTACGCTGCTTCAAGTCTGTTGGACCTGATCTATAACACCAGGTTGATGTCTCCTCAGAAAAGGTCCTTCTCCATATTGGGTAACTTGTTTTTCATCAAGCTTCTAGGCCTTAAATTCCATATCTATTGGTTTCCTAATGGCTTTGCCCTCCCCTGCTTTTGGATGTCCCACATGTCATAAACTATTCTACAATCCTGTGGTCCTCAATAGACATTAAATGAAATAAGATTTTTGTACTTAAAATCTATTTCTTAGAGCCCCATTTTTGTTATTGGCCATATGTACTGCTTGCTCACAAAACTTAAACAGGGGCTAGCTTAACAAAGTTTACAGCGTTTGTTTTGCCATTGCCCTAACCATCTGTAGGTGGCATTGTAAATTACATGTCATAACTGTTCTACAATTCTGTGTCCCTTAATGAATTCTAAGAAAAAATTTTTATGGTAAGTACAAAAATCTTCTTTTAGCTTATATACGTCATTCCAATCCTCCCTGTTATATTCTTATCTATACTGAAAACAGGAAAAATGAAAATGATTGGATGATGAATGACAGTTTTTCTTGATGTGATTGCCATAAACCACCTGTGCGGATAACTGCATAAGGTAAATGTCTGTCTACAGCGTTTGCAATTTCGTACATGAGATGATGTGTCCTTATTGGCACTTGTTCTCAAATACCCACAACAGGCATAAAAATTATCCATAATACCTGCATAGTCACCACTTTCCCATTAGTGCTGGGGTTCAGTGACCACTCATAACTGACAATTTGATGGTCATCTTTGCTCTGGGTTCCATTCAGATAGATATGATTTTGGGGAAGTGTTATAACTTGATTAGGTCCAGCATTGGCAATGGGTGGGTTGTCCACAGGCTGGTGAACCATTACAGAGGCTTCAGTAGAATTTTTAGCCCCACCTGAGTCAGTTACAGTTAACCTGTCAAAAGATGAAAATTGTGTTTAAATCTAGCATTGCAACAAACTCAACATTAATACACTGCCATACATAAAAATAGCACGGAACCCTAAAAAAATTGACATTTTCCAGCTAGCAATGTTTTTTATAAAATGTTTTTTCAATATTAAGTCGTACAGCTCATGTTACTAGTCAAGTATGTAAGGAGCAGCTAACTTTGAAAATAAGAGCTCATCAACCACTATACAGTACACTAGTGTAGTGAGTGTAATGGCTAATAAGTTTTATTTTTTGCACACTAGTTCATCAGGCACAATTAAATATTTCCCATGGCCTCTCTGGTTTCCTCCCACGCTCCAAAAAGACATGCTGGTGAGTAAAATGGCTCCGGTCTAAATTTGCCCTAATATAATGTATTATATGTATGAATTTGAGATAAGGACCTTAGATTATAAACTCCTTGAGGGCAGGGACTGATGTGAATGTACAATAAATAAACAGCTGTACAAACTGTTGCCACTATTTAAATGCCTATAATAATTGTTATAGTCGCTGTGAGTTTTACCATGGCCCACACATCCTACACTAGGCTATTGGGCAGACAATGTTTACTCTGCCAGCAAGCAGTCAGTGAGCTTATTTATCATATCACATCCAATCGCACTGCCTGCGGTCAGAGGGGACTTCGGTAAGAAATAAAGGCTAATCGTAATAGAATGTTAAATCTGTGTATTCTGGACAGGGCGTACGTTTTTTCAGCAATGGACCCTTCCCATTTACACATGTAAAACTAGATCTTTAGAACTTTGATTATATCTACAAGTATATTGCAGCTCATAATACAAAAAAAAAGTGTACAGTATATAACTTATTATGTACATTTACTGTCAATTTCTGTCCTTCATTCTGTTGATAATAGCAATAAGCAACACCATAATTTCAAATACAAAGCTGTTAAAGCACGTAATGTGCTAAAGCAAAAAACAATACATTAGTTTCTAATACTTGTCATAGAGGCCAGCAATTGACAAGGAATGACGTACCTAAGTCCTTGATAAGGGCTGATGACTAGTTAAAACTCCAAAATCTAAGCATTACCTGTAATGTGTAATATAGGGTACAGCTATAAAATAGTAGAAGCTATTTGCCTTTTGGCTGTCTGCAACTGAGCATTTGTATAGATGGTAGAGGAAACAGGAGTTTGCAGGCAGGTGTAGTTCGTGTAGGTGGCGCACGACTGAAGCAGCAATACAGCAGGGGAAGGAAGTTGTGAGGAACTTGGTTCCTCTCTGACTTCCTGCAGTCACTGTAGATATATTAGTTCAATTGGAGGCTGACACCCCACATGACCTTGGGGGCCATCTTGGGTAGGGCAGAGTCTATTTAAAACACTGGTTCTTGGGTTTGGTGTGTTTTGTGCAAGTGGCTAGTGTAGGGACACGTTCCCCATTTGGCAGGGACAGCTTGTAGTGGTAGGAAAAGATTCTAGTTGAGTAGGGAAAGTGCAGGTCCTACGTTACCTTCACTTTGGAAGCCTCCCGCTTGGGTGTGGAATGGCCAGGCCACATTCCCACCACTCGTGGCAGAAGCTGTCAATATCATCTCAGGATACACTTACCTGCTGCAATTTCGTAAGTGGCTCCTATCAGTGTGCCTACCCACCGAAGCTAGTTGTGTACTGGTGGAACTGTTTTAATACATTGTTCTATTTCACCAGGCCTCCATGTGTTCTGTGCTCGCTGACACACCACGCTGCTCCCTACCCACAGTTTTACTATTGCACTGACTCATTCAGATAAGTATGTAAATCTAAACTTAAGCTATTGAGCTATATAGACAACATGCATTTTTTCAGCAAAGCAGGTAAAGATAGCCTCAAAAACTTTAACAAAAAAGATCTAAAGCTTCAGATGATACCTGGAAATGAAAATCCAAAACATGCATATGCAACATTTACCTGACTTAAAAAGGTGTTCAGTGAACTTCAGCTCTGCTTGAACACCTACTGAAGCCTGTTGTAGCTTGTTTAAAGTGGCAGTCAGCATTCCCATAATGATTTCAATTTAACATCTCCAAACAAATCTATGCATACAATGCCTTAATGTGAAATTTACATTTTAAGGTAAACCAAAATATTCTTATATTCCCACCTATATGTATAGTTTCCAGGCTCCAGATCAGAGAGATGCAAAACTGATTCCTTGCCTACAGTCTTCAGTTCATGCGAAGATCCTCTAATTTCTTCCCATAGATATGCTATAATTTTATCATCATCACTGCTTTCTGTATTGGAGACATAAGATAACTCATTACTTTGATAAAATAAGAAAATGAAACACCACATTTGCAGCTTTTAAACTGAAAGAAATAGATATGCTTACGACGTCCATCAATAAAGGCAGATGTTGAAGGTGAAGACACTTCTTGTGTTCTTGGAGACACAACTGCAACTGGCCACAGGTTTACTTTAGCTGCTAAAAAAAATAAAATATAAGTAAACTATGAGGTGGATTTACTAATACAAATAGACTGAGCACTTTGCAAAGGCAATTGCACTAATTTTCCCTGAGCTTAGTAAATGAAGTAAAGCTGTGCTGTTTTCCATCATCCAATCATGTGCAAGCAGATATGCTGTTTTTATGTTTTCCTTGCACCTGATTGGGTATTCTTTACAAAGTGGAGCTTTACCACATTTACTAAGCTCTGGGAAAATGATTGCAACTGCACTTGCAAAGTGCTGCACAGTCTGTTTGCCTTTAGTAAATCCACCCTTGGCCATGCATTTTTTTAAATCAACTTTATTAAAAGTAATAAATAAAAGCAGTGTAAGATCATTCATGTACATGCAAGAAAGCAAACCATTGTACAGCTGTTTGGCTCACTTTGGTGTTTCTGGAATGAAAATCCAAACCCACGAAAAGGGCTCTGGGACAGCAGGGCTCCCAGGGAAGGCACTGAGCTACTCAAACATCATGTTATTGATCATCAATACAATTATCCCACGAATAATAAATGTTTCTATATTGCCAATCTGCCTAAACTCTCCACTTATGTACTTATAGTTTACTCACTCTGGAGTCATACACCCAGAACTAAATTGCTAGCAGAGTAGAACAACAGTCTGTTCTACTCCTGCAGATGCCGGCCATGGATTTATTTAAACAGACTGTGCCATGTTATTACTTTGATCCCATCTGCTTTCAACCTTAGCATTTCAGGTTTAACTATTAACCTTGCTCTTGTTACTATGATACTAGGACTAGCCAGTCCATTTGGTAGAGGTTGGTTGGCTCAAAACAGTGTAGAAGATAGGAGGAGGGGATAGGTGCAGGAAGTATAAATCTGACACTATTAGAAGCAATAAGATTTGCAAGACTTATTACAGTTAGATGAGGCAAGAAGAATTCTGATTGATTGTATGTGATGCTTTTACATAGATAGGGTGCAGATGGACAGAGTTTTTGTCCCTCAAAAAATTATATCCTCAGATTTGGTGTCGAACTGTTTCTTTAATTCAGTATGTTCACTTTGGGAAAAGCAGATATTTGTTAGGTACACCCAGGTGTGTATAAGTAAATGAAGTACCCAAAAACTCTTTATTATATATATATATATATACACACACACACACACATACACACACAGTACATATTGTAAACAATACATATTTATAAGAGACTGTACTAAATGACAAAATACATTTTTGAGTGGTTTAAAACACTGTTAACTGTTAATAAACTGTTATTTTGAGTTTAATTTACATATCAGAACTATCAGAGGGTATTTATATTACTGATATAAAATTGAATCTTGTAATTTGTTTGTAACTTTGACCTTTCTATGTATTGTTTGTATTATGTGCATTTACCTTTTAAAATGCAATAAAACGTTTTTAAAAAGAAAAAAGAACTTGTCCTGGTCCTGGATAAGCACCCAAACATATATTTAAGGGTAAGCATTATACTTCCTCAGCAAACAGAAAATACAATATAATAAAGTCATTCCTAATGTCTCTGTTTGTACCTGGCTTGATGGTGACATTTAGAAGTCCTTCTCCAAAGGCATGTTCTCCAGACACAGACACTTTCAATATATACAGGCCTGAGGTGACCTACAAAATTGAATTCACATAATAAATATCACTATACATGACATTCCTTGATTCTATTTGGATAACAAGGATTATCACGCTATGGAAAATTAAGTATTTACATATTTTTTAAAAAAGTATATTGACTATAAAAAAAGCCCTCATTGATCTCTGTAGCTGCAGGCACTGTGGAGAAATTCATCCTCAAGTTTGTACCAAAAGTCATTGGAATCATTCTCTCAGCTGCTCAGTGCACACTGCTTCATGCAGAACATGGGAATGCAATTATTTTAGTAAATAAACACCTAAATACCTTTTCTCCTCAGCAGTTAGAACAGTCTTGTGATTTATATCAGTGTCCAGCAGAGCACTGGTTAAAGCTTGTAGGAGGAGTTTTCATTCTTCTCTCACTGTCCTGTGAGACTGCAGGACCCCTGACCCTCTGTCTGGACAGTGCTGATTGACCATGTGCTGATCTCAGTCACTCTCACATTCACTCTCCCAATACACACCAAACTGAGTATGTGCAGTTTGCCCCGAAGGCTCTGTTCTATCAGGAGATGAATCTGGGACAGTGGAAGATGGGGAGGATCAGAGAAGACAGGATTAAACATCCTTTTTACACAATGCAGAGGATTAACCCCTTAGGTTCCACAGTGAGTATAACAAGCATGCTTTACTGCATATACAGACTGATTTCACTGTTGTGGGTTTAGTAACAGTTTAAGAATATGTACTTTTTTCAAAGTCCATAGCCTAGCTACAAGTTTACATTAAGCTTCCCCTCATGTCCCAACATGAACCCTTGCTGGATTTAGTGCCTATAGCACAATTTATTTATTGAAAGGGGGAATAAATTAGGGACTATGATAAGTAATAGTGCAGAAAAGCTTATGGTGTTTTCAGGCTCTTTAAAGCGGAAATTCACCCTAAAGTAGAACTCTGTTTTATGCCCTCCTCCTCTATGTATGGCACTTTTTTTGGGGTGGGGGCAGGTACCTGGTTTTGACAGATACATGTTCGTGCTTCCGGTTGGATCACTGTGGCAGATCCACTGGAAATCTCCCCCCACCCACAACCTTCTGGGACATATCACAGTTCCCAGAAGGCTGCATGACCATTCACAGCTCAGCTCACCCATACGCAGCGAGAAGCCATCTGTGAAGCCGCAAGGAATCACAGCCAGCTGCCCACAGTCAGAGATGTGGAAATTTTTGAAAAAACTTGATGTCCCAATCTGCTTGTCCCTCATGACAATCTACTTGTCCAGGTAAAAAAGAAAGATATTTTAACCAAAACCTTATTTAAATCAGAAGTGATTTGAAGGGGAGGCTGGAGGTCAGTAGTCTTTTCTGCAGGCGTGCGTTGGACCAGCTATATGGGGAGGTTGGAGGCAGTAGTCTTTTCTGTAGGCGTGTGTTGGGCCAGCTATGAGGAGAGGTTGGAGGACGGTAGTCTTTTTTTTTGCAGGCGTGCATTGGACTGGCTTTGAAGGGGAGGCTGGAGGTCAGTAGTCTTTTCTGGACTGGCTGTGAGGGGAGAGTTAGAGGCCAGTTATTTATTTATTTTTTTAGATGTGTGTTGGGCCGGTTAAGAAGGGAGATTGCAGGCCAGTCCTTTTTTTCCAGGCATGTGTTGGACTGGCTATGATAAGTTGGAGGCCGGTCCTTTTTTTGAGGCATATGTTGGACTGGATATGAGAGTAGATTGGAGGCCGGTCCTTTTTTCCAGGCATGCGTTGAACTGGCTGAAAGGGAAAGTTGGAGGCTTGCACTACTTTTCAGGTATGTGTTGGATCAGCTATGAGGGTAGGTTGGAGGCCAGTCCTTTTTTTCCAGGCATGTGTTGGACTGGCTATGATAAGTTGGAGGCCGGTCCTTTTTTTGAGGCATATGTTGGACTGGATATGAGAGTAGATTGGAGGCCGGTCCTTTTTTCCAGGCATGCGTTGAACTGGCTGAAAGGGAAAGTTGGAGGCTTGCACTACTTTTCAGGTATGTGTTGGATCAGCTATGAGGGTAGGTTGGAGGCCAGTCCTTTTTTTCCAGGCATGTGTTGGACTGGCTATGATAAGTTGGAGGCCGGTCCTTTTTTTGAGGCATATGTTGGACTGGATATGAGAGTAGATTGGAGGCCGGTCCTTTTTTCCAGGCATGCATTGAACTGGCTGAAAGGGAAAGTTGGAGGCTTGCACTACTTTTCAGGTATGTGTTGGATCAGCTATGAGGGTAGGTTGGAGGCCAGTACTTTTTTTTTTTTTCAGCCGTGCACTGAACTTGCTATGAGGGGGTTTGGAGGCTGGTAGTCATTTTTTTCAGTGTGTGTGTTGAACTTGCTATGATGCCTGTACTTTTTTTCACGTGTGTTGAACTGGCTATTAGGGTAGGTTGGAAGGCAGTACTTTTTTTCAAGTATGCATTGCACTTGCTATGAGGGGATGTTGGAGGCCTATACTTTTTTTCAGGTGTGTGTTGAACTTGCTATGAGGCCTGTACTTTTTTCATGCGTGTGTTGAACTGGCTATTAGGATAGGTTGGAGGCCAGTACTTTTTTTCAAGTATGCATTGCACTTGCTATGAGGGAAGATTGGAAGCCAGTACTTTTTTTCAGGCGTGCTTTGAACTTGCTATGAGGGGATGTTGGGGATGTTGGAGGCCTATACTTTTGTTCAGGTGTGTGTTGGACCGGCTATGAGGGGAGGTTGGAGGCCAGTATTTTTTTTTCAGTCAAGTTTTAGGCCATCTATAATGGTGGTTTCACATAGGACTGCAAATATATGCAACCAAAACATCTGTTTGTGAATTAATTTTTTTAACTAGTTTAAATTCTGAATGTATTTCTTGCTATGTATGTCACAATTTGGAAATGACGTTAGGGTGGAGTTAGGGACCGCACTGTACAGAGGAGCCTTGAAGTGGCAGTGTGGCTCCACATATATTTGCACATTTATCCAACATAAACTGAAAACAGATTGCTGAAACAATTTAGGCTTTTTCCAATTTTGCTGGCTGGCTGGTAAGTATGCTGGAGGACTCTGTGTATTGTAACATTCTGTGAACAGTCCTGCCTATGTGCACCTTACATGAAGCATCCAATCACACTTTTTTGTTGTGGTAAGATGCATTACTGCAACGTAGGTAGACAGATGTTCCATGCATTAGTGTGTTGCAGTGCTTAAAAATAGAGAAAGTGACTGAGCATGTGCAGAGCAAGAACTTTCGAATGGTGACCAGGGATTGGGATGCCTGAATGACTACATTTGGCTATGATGCATGCATTTGCTTTTTAGCCCTCTGGTGAGTGCACATAGATGGCGGAATGCACATTGTTGGTGGTAGGGGAAGAAGATTTGTGGTCATCTCTTTCTTTTTACACTGCTTTGGACTTTATACAAGGTTGGATACATACTTTACTGATTGGACTTTTTCATTATATGGCGTTATCACTATTTTATTGTATTTCAATTTATCACATTGTGCTATCACTTTCTATTTTTTGAGTATTGGTCTGTGATGTGATGTATGGATTGACACTGGGGGTGATTTGGTTTGAACATATATTATTTATTGATAATTTTGTATGTATTAGGTAATTTATGATTCAGCGCTGCACTATTTTTCATTCTGTATTATTTTACAAGGTTGGGTGGGTCACTTGTTTGGTGCTATCAGCTCTTCTTTAGAAGCGCTCACTTATATATCATCTCCTAGAGTAACTACATGTCTCCTGAAATCTCCTCCATGCTCTTGAGACAGTGCTGGGAGACAGAGCAAACCTTCAGGAAATGGCACGTATTGATGTGCAATTTCTTGAGGATGAGGTATCGCCTCATGCTACCAGTAGCGACACTGACCCTAGCCAAATGCAAAACTAGTGAAAAACAGTCAGAAAAGATGAGTAGGGAAAAAAATTGACACCAAAGCAGCTGAAACTGATTAACAACCCCCTCTGCTACTTAACTGACCAGATCAATATCCCAGGAGTTTAATTGACTTGATGCTATACTTTATAAAAATTAAAGGAACACATTTTTAATCAGTCTACAGGGCTTAGTCACCCTCTAGCTTCTTATGTCTCTCGTAGTGTCATTAACTTACAATAGTTTCTTGCTCTGTTCCCACTATTTCTGCTGCATGCACCATCCAATAAAATTAATCACACATCTAGGAGAGTTGGACCCTCAATTCATGGCTGCACTGGATGTGGAGATCTGGGATCCCAATTCCAGACATCTCACCACAACATATACGAGACTATTAGGTAGTATAACTCTGCTCCATCTATTAATCAGTTGGCGACAGGCCCATGTAAAATATATAGCGAGCCGGGGTCTCTTCTACGCCAGATCATGTGCATGTACATGATCTTTCATCTCTAGGTAGGGAGCACACGTGCCCGTTACCCCATCTGTGCTGTTATTCACTAAAGCCTAAGCCGATCGGCAGGTTCAGCCAAATGATTTATGGCTGGGACCTGCTGATCGGCTGAGCGAATAACATAACAGAGCTCTGCATTGACAAGCAACACAGACCTCTGTATAGACAGCAGCGATGTGTCTATTTTTTTTTCTCCCTGCAAAGAAGAGAGTAAAAACAGTCACATGGATTACTAAAATCAGCCCATATACACACGGTACACATTGCTAGCACACTGCTAACCCTTTGATTGCACCTAGATGTTACTCCTTCCCAGTCAGTGTCATTTGTACAGTGACAGTGTATAGTACTAACACTGATCATTATGTCAGTTGCGACAAAGTGTCAGATTGCTCGGCGCACTATCACAGTCCCACTATAAGTCTATTATCATCGCCATTACTAGTATAAAAATAAATAAATAAAAATTCCAGTATTTATCCCATTGTTTGTAGATGCTACAACACACTTAATACACACTTATTGATTTGCTTTTTTTTTTTTTTTTTACCAAAAACATGTAACAGAATATATGTTGGCCTAAATTTATTAAGAAATTTTATTTTTTTTTTTACATTTTTATTGGATATGTGGTGGTCAGCTATC